TACCTAGCTTGAAGATGTAACGCTGACTTACATGTGTTTTGTGCTGTTAATTGGTGGTTGTAATTACCATTCGTGGTAGTAGCCTTTGGCTTTCTGCGGCAATCTTTTTCTGTGTAGCTCACCGTGACTTTGAACTCCCTGTGTCCATGCTGGTTTTGAGCATGAAGTTCTACTGCCTCAGCCACCTTGAACTATCCCCCTAACTATATGTCTTACTTCAGCCACCTTATCATGTACCCACCTAGTTCCTCCTAACTTCTGGTCATTTCAGGAACCATCTGTTAGTTGCTTCTATTCAAATGAAAAGTCCAACTCAGGTCTTTATGACAAGCAGGTAGTTACTAGAGCCAGGTAGCTGGGTGAGAAGTCCCATTGTGACAGGGAGACAAAGCTGTGGAGACCACTTCTTGGCTCTGAGTAATAAGGTGGATAAAATGCACATGTGGATGTAGCGTGGGTCCTGTGGAAAGGAGAAAGGATACAATCGCCTGTAAATCAGTGGTGCTGGATTCTAGGACCTGCCACAGATAGTGGCTCATAAAAGTCTCCACTGTGCTATATCCTGGATGTGAAATTTCAAACTTCGAATTGATACGGACTTGCTATAGGCTAGTCAGACATTTTATTCTGTTCGTACTTTTTATTGTCTTTTAAACATTTATTTTATGTGTTTCTGTTAGTATACATGTTTGCAACACTTTGTATGGCTATCAGAGGACAGCTTGTGGGGATTCAGTCTTCCATTGCACTTTGTAGGACCTATTAATTGAACTCAGGTTATCTTGCTTCATGGCAAGTGCCTTCACTGGAGCTACATCCTGCTTCTACTAAATGACTCAGTTATCTTAGTTCTGTACCTTTAGTTCTTTTACAGTTTTTCTCTTACTATATCTTAAAACTTCAGTCATGTCCCTGTGACTCACTTTGAAAAATTACTTCCTCCACCCAGAATACTAATATGAACTAAGGCTAAACAACATTTAGTAAACTGAATGTAAGCTTTGCAGCTGTGATCGAAAGGTATCCTGGCCACTGGGAACCAAGGATCATCCACCACAAAGTCACTATAAGCTTAGCAGCTAGCAGTTTAACAGTTTTGCTCCAAGGAAAGGTTTCCCCAATGCAAGTGTAACAAGAAGTGTTAACAGTGTTACAGCTCGCTAGACTAGGAGGAAGTTTCCCCAGCAAAAGTGTTACATTTTTACTCAGGTCAGTGTAACAACTCTGCTCTGCTCCAGCTGGGTAAAAGTTGTTATGTCTGGGCTCTAATCTGGAGAAGGTGTTACATGCACAAGAAACCACCCTTAAGAGACTTAAGGGTGAGGAAATCTCCAGGAGAGCGGCTACCTCTAAGGGTGAGAAGTAGCATCAACCAACAAGGCACAGAGCTACAATAGTGTTCTTTTTTGGATAGGCCATTCCATGGTGGCTAGGGATGTGTGGGATTTCATGCTTAGGGGCCTCGTGGATTGGTGGGATTCTGCAGCCTGACTCTGGGGCAAGCCCAGGTATTGGGCCTAATCAGTGGCAGGGTGTTTTTTCCTTGGCCCCTTTTTTAATGGCATTTGAACAACTTTAGATAAGCCCCAGAATGCAGCAAGCAGGACTTGGCAGGCAGTAAGGTAAGTGTACAGAGCTGTGTACAGACATTCTTGGTGCATGCACAATCACACACACAGTGAAGGTTGGGCCCCTAGGTTTACCGTAAGGATTGTGTGTGTGGGGGGGGACATATTGCATCATTTTTTTTTTTTTTTTCTGTTTTGCACATGCCTTGAGACTGTGATCTAATTCAGAGGTCACTCACTAATCAGCCTGCTGAAAGAAGTTCCCAGGCAGCTCAGCATCCTGGCTGTGGCATGGTTATAACCAACTTTCCCTAGGGTGCCAATTGGGAGCAAATCAACACAAAATAGCTGAAACAGCATTCATGGGGGTGGAAAGGCAGAGGCTTAGAAAGTGAGAGCCAAGACACTAGATGTGTTAGAAAGAAACCAGAGCTAGGCCTGGTCTGCACAGAGTTCTAAGCCAGCCAGGGCTAAGTAGTGAGAACCTGTCTCCAATTGGGGTGGAAAAAGAAGACCAAGAAGCTAAGTACTTTGCACTGAGACAATAGTAAAGGTGCCTTGGGGCATATGATGATTTGTTGACCCAGAAACAGTTTGAAACTGTGAGGTCTGAATTTGTTTGAATACTTAAAAAAAAAAAAAAAAAAAAAAAAAACCACCACAGCTTTCTGGTTGTTGCCTCTGGAAGTGTTTTCCACACTTGGCCACCCAGAGGCCAGGGCAGTAGAAACAAGAGTCTGGCTACTTTGAAAGCCTTAGTAAACCTTGACATCTTCCAAGGAATGTTGACCTTTATAAGCATTCAGAACTGAAGAGTTAAAAAGTCAAGTCACCAGTCTCATGAATCTCCTGCTGGGTTCCAGTCACCTGCAAGGAGCTCCACCATCCAGAGTTCAGAGGAGGGCCCAAAGCTAAGCAGGGAGGCAGGGACGGGGCCTCTGTAGGCAGCCTGGCAGAGGGCAGTGCACCAGGCTGTGAGGGTGAAGCAGAAGGAACTGTGGAGGCTCCTGAAGAGTGGAGTTCCTAGGAACATGGGACACCCGTGACAGCAGAGTCAATCCAAGCATGGGCATGGTCACATGGGCTGTAAGGGACCTTCCTTTGCAGGCCACAACATGCCAGTGGCTGCTTCAGGTGCTGAGCATGGAGCTAACTGGACTCAGTATTTACCCTGTTAGGCTTTGTCTTCCTTTCTTGTATCTACCCCCACCTTCCAGAATGCCTCCTCCATGCCTTGGTAGCTTAGAAGGATGTGAGCTGGTTTATTACTCTACAAGGGTTCCCAGCTAAGAGTTTGTCTTGAGTCTCAGAAGAGACTTGGAATTTGACAGAGCAAGACTGTGTAGTAACTGTGGTGCTTTGTGGCGATGCATGAACATGCTTCCATCATGAGATGCATGCATGTTGAGAGAGCTACAAGTGGAATGCTGGGGGTTTGAAGTCTGTGTGTGAAATTGACAAGCAGTGGGTTTTGTGATGTTGGATAGTATCTGCTTTGTTAGCTTGAAAAGGACCTTGAAGATTGAGAAAACATGTGGTTGGGTTTTTCTTTGGGGATTGACTAACCCAGAGAGTACTTGCCTGTGTGCACACAGCAGTGACTTGGGAGCCATGATGGAACAAAGTAGGCAGTCACCTAGGCATGTAACCCTTTGTACCCTTTGCTGCTGTAACAGGAAATCCTTGCTCCACCACACCCTCTCAGTTTGGTTCTCAGCCCTCGTATATCTAGAAAACCTAACATAACTATAAGTTTTGACTATTACAGGTGACTATCTGTAATCTGTATCTAATGTATATATTACATTTTTAAAAGAGCTAAAAAACACAATATCTAAGCAAGAGTAGAATATAACAAAGTTGACCTTAAGTTTGTATCAATACACCAAAATCTATATCAATGCAAAGTATTCATTTCTATATCATATTCCTTTTTTTTTTAAACAGAGATTGACTGTGATCATTAACCATTTATAACCAACCACATTTAAATGAAAACAAACATTCATAAACAATATTTGGGAATTTGGGAGTAGCTTTCTCCAAACTGCTTCCTGCTATTTGGGAATGCTGTTAATCCCAAGGGGATCCTAAGAAAACTCAGAACCATGGCCATTTCCTGGCTGTAGCAATCTGTGAAGCTGTCCTGGATGTTGGATCACCTGGACCACTGCTTCAGGGGGTCTTGTTTGATCAAACCATGTTAATCTAGAAGGATCCACAGCTTTTCATCTTCTATGGAAACAAAAGCAGAACTTTTTTTTTTTTTCCAAAGTAGCATGTCCTTAGACTTAAATTTTGAAGTCAAGGCATTTTCAAAATATATAGGTTAGATTAATCCAGCAGCATTTATAATCAAATGCCTTTTAGCAGCTGTTGTTCCTTCATCAGCAGTCAAACAATTTAAAGACAACACAATAACATACAGTATCCAGACTTGGTTTCCATCTTGATGTGGGATGTGTCATTATTATTATTATCATTACCATTATTATTATCATTATTATTACTCTATTTCTTTTACTTTTTGGTATTTTGGGGACAGGGATTCTCTGTGTATCTTTGGCTGTCCTGGAAATCACTTTGTAGACCAGGCTGGCTTTGAAATCACAGACATCCCTGCCTCTGCCTCCCTGAGTGCTGGTATTAAAGGCGTCGGCCACCATACCAAGCTACTCTCTATTTTTTTTTTCTCAAGGACTTTCTCTATTTTCTTTTTTCTTCCAAGCCTATGTATATTTTAAAATACACTTTTAGAGGTTCCCCCCCCCCCCGACTCTGTCTTCACTGTATATATCTTTTTCTGACCACATGTATCTTAACTGACCTCATTTTTAGAATGTATAGCTGACCTCTGCGGGGATTAAGAAGTGTCCCTTGCTCTCAAGCCAGTCTGTGTCACCCCTAATCTGATATGCTGGGAACTGCAGCTTTTCAGACCTCGGGTTTCTATTCAGACATAAATGTGAAGACTTGACTAGAGGAGTATCTGTAACCTGAAAATGCAGCTGCTTCACATTCTGAGGCACAGATGCAAGCAGATGTCTCTGAGGAGTCTAACTTAGTCTACATAGTTCCAGGCTAGCTTCATGGTGAGATCCTGTCTCAAAAATAACCCCCAAAACAGAATTTTAGGTTCTGGATTTTTAGATTTTTTAGGGATGCTCTGTCCCTGCAGAATCTTATGCCAGATTTCTCATGTCATGTTGGAATATCCAAACCACTTGTGGAGAGCTGAGTTTGTGTCTGATACCCTTACCTTATATTGCAGTAGCTAGGCTGCTGCCATACAAGTGCTCAGATAGCCATCATCTGGCTCCTGGCCATAGGGGAATTTCTCAGTGCTTCTGGGTTTGAATGCAAGGATGTTTTAGATGTGTCAGTGCCCAGCAGACTGCAAAGGTGAGTAACAGAACTGATCTTGTATTTCAGTGCAAACAGCCATCATTGCACCAAAGACATGGAAGAAAGCGAAAGATCGGAGCCGAACCCCAGACGAGGTGTTAGAGGCAGAGGTGAGTGACAGCCCCTCCCTCCTGAGCTTGTCCGGAGATCAGTGACTGCATTTCATAAAGACATGTCGCTTTTTTGAGATAATGTTTTCCAATCAGATCTTGGCCTATCAAGCTCAGAAACAAATGTCTGGTGTTTTTTGTTAGAGACTTTTAAAGATACTTGATTTCCTTGAATAATTGTTGCTCTTCTTTGAGAATGCCCCTTGTAAATAGTCAGGTTTAGTCAACTCCTCCCTATTTGGGGGAAAAAAATGTGCGTATGGGGGGCTTAATTTTTGGTTTTGTTTATTTGTTGTTTTGTGTGTTTGTGTGTGATGTTTCTACATTGTTTCATTGTGTGTATCCACGTGCATTCATGTACCTTAGGTATGTATAGACCAGAAGTCAGTGTTGGCTATCACTTCAACCATTATTTTTTAGTTCATTGTCTAGTTGGACAGGCCAGTGAGCTCCAGGGATATGCCTGCCTCTTTTTTGAGTTCTGGGGACCCAAAATCAAATAGTTCTTATGCCTAGCACCTAGTCATGGACTTTACTGACTGGCTGTCTTGCCATTCCCTAAACTCTTACTTTCTTAAATGTTACTGAAGATATATTATTACATTTTAGGGGATAATGTATTTTTCTTCTTGGTAAAGGAAGGGAGTTTATTTAAAACTTGGGCCCAAACCAGGGAATAAAATTCTCAGCTTCGCACCATCAAGGCAAACTATTTATTTGTGCTTATGTGCCTGCGTTTATTTATGTCATGGTACATGTCTCAGAACACAGCCTTCGGGAGGCTGTTCTTTCTTCTACGTTTATGTGGATTCTGGGAATCCAGCTCATGTCATCAGCCTCTCAAGGCAAGAGTTGCCTATTGAGTCACTTTGCTGCCTAAGGCAGCTTTTAAATAATTTTCTTATGAGGTCCTTGTTTCTTAAAAAAAAAAAAAAAAAACTTCCATCTTGTCCACACAGCTAACGGTATATGTTGTTGCTTCTGCTGTCCTGTTATTGTCCTAATATGATGTTCTGTTGATGTCACAGTGAGTTCCCTAGCAACCACTAAAAAAGGTGTATGAGTGTGACATCACTCTGCTTCTGAGGGACAAGATTTAGCACTAAGTTAGAGAGGTACAAGTAGTTGGTGCCTTCCTTGAAGCTTGACGAGAAAATGATGTTCCTGCAGAGGATAAGATACTTCCTAGAGGCTGGGGAGTCGCACACAGTCCGGGTAAGGCTTGACCATCACATGTGGGTTCCTCAGGAGACGCAGCTGGGTTTAGTTCAGTCACTTTAGTTTACTTTTGTCCTTTGTGCTCCAGACCCATTTCGAAGAGTTATTGAATACTGAATGGATGGACCTCCCTTCATCTACCTTCACGTACTTATTCTTTTCTTTAGTGTGGAGGTCCCAGAACTCTTCATTGAGGTTGTGATAGTAAATACTTGAGGTCTGTTTTATATTCCCACCACAACTCTAAAGGCCTGGCACAGTACACACTGTGTCAGTGGATGAAGTGTGGCTGTGTTCCAGTAAACATACTGGCAGTCACAGAAATTTGTATTTAAAAGACACATACTTCTTTTGGTATCTCAACCTATAACCTATGGAATATTCCTTTACACTGTGTTAATCTATGTCACTCTAAAGCTGACTGGACAGTAGCTGAGCAGGTAGAGATTAGGTGGGACTGGTAGACGAAAGAGAGTGTGAAGAAAGGAGCCTCAGGCGTTTCTAGGGAAATTTGGAGGAGTGGGAGGTGAACTTGCTGAACAGAGAAAAGCTACTGAGCCACGTGGCATACTATAGGTAAGAAATATGAGTTAATTTAAAATGTTAGAGTTAGCTTTTGACCAAGCATTTATTAATAAGTCTCGGTGTTATTTTAGAACTGAGTGGTGGGACAGAAAAGTCCGCCTACGTCAAGAATAAAATCATTCTTAACTTGTACAATTTATGAAACAGTTGGTGAGCCAAAACTAGACCTTGGGCCAGAATTTGTAGCCCTGCTTTATCATGTTGTGAGCGTGTGAGCGTGTTTTGACTCCTTGTGAAGCAGCCACTTACTAACCACATAGTGTAAAGTTTTAAGTAGTGGCTCCAGAAGGGTGGCTAAGTTGGTGAGGGAATGGGCCACTCTTCCAGAACACTCAAGTCTGTTCCCTAGCACCCAAAGTGGGTGGCTCATAACCACCTACAACTCCAGTTCTAGGGAACTTGATGACTTCTTCTGGACTCTGTTGGCACTGCACTCACACGAATGCACACTTGTGTGTACTTGTGGGCACACGAACTATTTTTACAATTTTAAAAATAATTTTTCCTTTTCATACTGTCTTCACTCAGGAATTGTCCCGTGCCTTTCCTAAAATAATGATCATTAGAACAGTGTATTAAATACTTGATGATTTTATCTTGGTTTCCACTGATTAGTCTCACCCTTTCTTAACATTATTTTCTCAGCCTTTAAAAATAATATAATTAAGTTCATATGGAACTACATATTAGTATCCATATAAATATTTTGTTCAGTCATTTACAGCCTAAAAAAGGTACCCGGAAATACTCATCAGGCAGTAGTGATGCATACCTTTCGTCCCAGCAGTTGGGAGGAGGAGGCAGGTGACTTCTGTGAGTTCAAGGCCGGCCTGGTCTACAAAATGAGTTTTGGGATATCCAGAACTGGTACACAGTACACACAGGTGGATCTCTGAAGTCCTGGAAGTTGTGGCAGTGGAAATCCCCTGCCTGACCTGTACTGAAATAGAAAAATTATGTTTCAAGGTCATTGTCAATTTGCTTAGCGCATACTAGAATGCCTGGAGCATGAAACTGAGGCCCTTTACTCACAATGCAGCTTCACCCAGTCTTTTTCAAAAGTTAAAAGTGGCCTGCTTAAAAAAAATATGTATATCATTTCTAGTTTATTTTCTTGGCATTTTATGTCTGATTTGAGTGTTTAGGTTGCTTACTTTCTTCTTTGTTTTAAGATAGTGTCTCATGTGTCACAGGCTAGCCCTTAAGTCTCTGTGTTTGATACCTGATACTGATTTTTAAAAATTTTCTATGTAGCCTAGGATGACCTTGAAGTGTGGGTGTGTGTGTTCTCCCTCCCTCTCCCTTCCTCCCTCTGTGTCTCTCTATCTCTTTCTTTCTCTCTCTCTCTCTCTCTCTCTCTCTCTCTCTCTCACACACACACACACACACACACAGAGTCCAACTCAGATCAGGTGTTGTAGCAAGCACTGAACCATCCATCCTACCAGCCTCTGTGTCAGCTTCTTAACATGGTTGCCAAGGATCTGAGCATGGGTCCTCAAGCTTGCACAGAGGGAGTTTACCCATGATGCATCTGTCCAACCCCAGCCTTGAAATTCTAATCCTCCTGCTTCCTCCTCCCTACTACTGGAATTATAGGCCTGGGTGATTTATCTCAGTAAATGTTAGGAGGTTTTTTTTTCCATCTTGCTCTCATTTATGTGGTGCTTAGAATTAAATCCAAGACTTCACACACTCCAGGTACTCGCTCATACTGCTGCCTGGCTACATCCTCATTCCTGGTTTGTTTGTTTTTGACTCAAGTTCTTATGTCGTCAAAGCATTGTACTATTTTAGCTTTCAACATTCAGCAATCTCTTTCTTTTGATAGATTCTGTATATTTTTTTCTTCGTGTGTGTGTGTGTGTGTGTGTGTGTGTGTGTGTGCGTGTGTGCGCGCGTCTGCACACTATCAAGCAGACCTAGGTCTTTCAGATCATCCATATCTATTGATAAGACTTTCCAATGTGTCTTTCCTTGTTATCTCTGTATTGTAGAGAAACATGTAGTATTTTTCAATACTAAAGTGATAAAGTAGACATGTTTGACTTTAACAAAATTGATTTAACACAAATCAGGTAAAGTGTCCTGTGTATATAGTACAGGCTTTGGCACAGGCATGTGTATAGGATAGTGCTTAGCTGCAGCAGCCCCGGGATCCCCGTCTTGGGAGTACAGTAGGAAGGATGTGTCCAGGATGCCCCCTTCACCAGACACTTCACAGAGAACTCTGGCTCAAGAGTTCAGCTGCTCAAGAACACCTTTGGCATGTTGTTCAACACCAAGACTTTGGGTAGAAATAAACTGAGGTGTAACAGTTTCTCTTGGCCTATAAAATAGACTCCCCAGAGAGACATTGCTCTGAGGTTTTTTATGTTTGTTTGTTTGTAAGTGATTTTTGTGTGTATGTTCAACATACATGGCCTTGGACTCTGATGAGTTAAAACTTGTGCCTCATGCCTCTAATCCCAGTATTCAGGAGGCAGAAGCAGATGGATCTCTGTGAGTTCGAGGATAGCCAGGGCTACACAGAGAAACCCTGTCTCAAAACAAAACTTGTGCCTTCCTTGTAAAGTAGAATATGATTATCTTTGTAGAACTTTAATTCTTTAATTCCCCAAAAACTTGGTTCAAAGGCAGAGGTGTGCAGGAGTCTCTGAGCTTTAGTGTCTCTTGACTCATGATGAGCCCTGGTGGCAAGAGAAGCATACTTGCTTCATTTCTGTGCAGGTTGTCAACTTTCAAGAAATAGCAGTTTTTAGCTGGACATTGTGGTGCACGCCTTTAATCCCAGCACACTGGGGGTCAGCCTGGTTTATGTAGTGAGTTCCAAGGACAGCCAGTACTACACACAGAGAAAGCCTGTCTGAAAGAAAAAAGAAAAGAAAAGAAAGAAAAAGAATCACCAGTTCTTTCATGGTAACCTTACCAACTGTTTAGCTTCCATCAGTCCCAGGTTGAAGCATTTCAGTAGCTGTCTGAAATGTCTGTGGCATGTGGTGAGATGGTTCTTGTACCATGTGCAGAGCTCAGACACTGAGCATGCATGAGTGGCATGTTTTCCTGTGGTTTTGTTTGTTTGTTTGTTTGTTTGTTTGTTTGATGGGCTAGGTATAGACCTTTATTATATGAATTGTAATGTGAATTCTGTGTTACCTTGCACTCTAGCCTAAAGCTGATGAGGATCTTCCAGTTGACAGAGTACTTGAACCTGAGACAGATAAAATGAGCCAAGGGTTTCACTTTGAGAGAGACCCCTCTGCCCTGAAAAGAGCGAAAGCTGGGGAAGAAAACGGAGAAGAAGCCGAGCCTCTACGCAATGGTGCTGAGAGTACTTCTGAGGGGGAAGGAGGAGATGCCAATTCAGGCTCCACTGATAGTTCTGGTGATGGGATCACATTCCCATTTAAAGCAGGTAAGTTGGCCCCTGGCTCCCTGAATCCCTTCTTGCGTACCTCCTGTGTAATCTTAAGGAAATGTCTCCACGGAGAAAAACTGATGACCAAAGTTCATCATAAGAAAGATTGACAGGACACATAGCCCACAATGGCAGTTGGTGAGGAGTAAATCTAGAGTCCTGTCCAACGTCAGTGCCCAGAACTGCAGCCAGTAGACATCTGCAGAGCAGGCTGTCAGAACTCAATTAAGATGCAGCTTTTCTCTTTATTTTGGGCTGAATGGGTATTGTTGTTACCAGTGCCCTGAAGGTGGGCATTCCTCATGCTTCTGATTCAGGGGTTTTGTTCTGTTTTCCTTTGCCCAACTCAACTCTTAATGACTGAATGCTTGTACCCACTGGTCAGGTACAATGGACACACCTCATAGAGAGGAAATGCTGCAGTTAGGATGGTGAGTCCTGGAGGGACTCCCTCACATCGACACACCATGGTGCATTCAAACCCTGACCAGGCATGACAGAGGGCTGACTCTGTCCTCAACACCTCAGTAAGCAAACCAGACCCTCTGCTGGTTCTGTAAACCCTGATTGCTGTGGAGGGTTATGGAGGGATTTGCTTTCAGGAAGTGGAGAGGTGGCTCCTTGGATGAGAAGTTTGGAATTGGTAAAAAGTTTTCTTCTCTGTCAGTGCAAGGTAAAGTTGCAGAGTTAAAATGTAAAAATGTAAGACTGGGAGATAGCCCAGGCCAGGGGGTTTTAAACTGTTGCATTGAACTTTCTCTCTCTCTCCCTCTCTCTTCTCCCTCTCTCTCCTCTCTCCCTCTCTCTCTTCTCCCTCTTTCTCCTCTCTCTCTCTCTCTCTCTCTCCTCTCTTTTCTCTGAGACAGGGTTTCTACTTGGCTTTGGAGCCTGTCCTGGAACTAGCTCTTGTAGACTAGAGCTGGTCTCAAACACACAGAGATCCACCTACCTCTGCCTCCCAAGTGCTGGAATTAAAGGTGTGCGCCGCCGCCGCCGCCGCCGCCGCCACCACCACCCGGCTTGTATTTAACTCCATTTACAAGCTATGAAATCACAGTAGTATTATAAAGCATAATAAATAAAGAATGTCGCTATGGTTTTCTGTCTTTAAGAATAAGTGTAGCTCTGAGAAACTTATTCCAGTTCTGTGTTATCTTTATGAAGTCCTTATTCCTTTGTTAATTTATTTGAGTCAAGATCTTACTGTGTAGCCCAGGCTGCCCTCGAACTTGTCAGTCCCCTCCCTCACCCTACTGAGAAATTGATTACATGCACAGTCCACCACTCCTGCCTTGTCACTTTCCAAAAATAGTTATTTATTCTTGGACATTTTCATAAATAAATGAAATGCATCGTTATTTTATCTACCCCCAGCTCCTTCCTCTCACTTCAGGCCCTCTGAACATTTGTGTGTCAGGAATATTTAGAAACCATTAGCCTATACTTCCCACCTTTAAGTAATTTTTTTTAAATTTTTATTTAATTTTGAATGCTAGGAATCTATTCCTCTACTGATCTGTGTTGCAATCCTCTTTTACTTTTTCACTCTCTGATGATGTCCAGGCTACAACCAAACTCACTCTATGTTTCTTGACTCACAGTCCTTGTGCCTCAGCCTCCAGAAGCCCTGGGATTACCTGCATGTACCACCAGGCGAGGCCTGATGTGTATTGTATCACTGCATTCCTGTTGGTGGGCTTTTGAAATCATAACAATTCATTCTTACTGCGCATAGAATTTTGCAACTGTTACACACACATACATACACACACACACACACAAGCCATTGTCTAAGGGCTCGTTTTTTTTTAAACTTCAGAAGCAGTGGTTTAGCTTGCATTTGGCAATCTAGTCTTGTACAAGATCACTAAATGCTGACGGTACGGTGACCCCAGCATTTTCTTCATAAATCGTGATGACAGTACTGTCATCGCCCAGTTACAGGGTCCAGCTATCTGATTTCCTTTGACCTTGTCATCCAGTGTATAGCAGTAAAGGTTGGGAATGGGGTGGTTTAAATCCTAAATCCCAATATATTATCTGCTTTTTAGTAAAGATAGTTATGTTAAGCAGACTTAGTTTGAAAGTATCTTCATAGCATTAGAGAAATTAGTGGGTTGATGGTCTCCTAGGGTAGGAATAACAAGAACACAGGGTCTAGCCTGCTATCCTGGTGCTTGACCCCACCCCTGTCAAGGCTGGGTTTTTCTGTGTAGCCCTGGTTGTCCTGGAACTTGTTCTGTAGACCAGGCTGTCCTCAAACTCAGATGGCTTTTGCCTGGAATTAAAGGTGTATACCTCTTCCTCCTCCTCCATCACCATCACCACCACCGAAGGCTTTTTTTTTTTTTTTTTTTTTTTTAAATGAGTTTTGTCAAAGCAAAAAGGGAAAGTGGCTTACTTTTACTGTCCAATAAAATTTCAGTAGAATTCCTCTAATTTTATATAATAAAGATAAGCCTGGAAATAGCTCCACCCTTACAAGCAGTAGATCAGAGTTCAGTTCCCATCCTCACCCCTCAAACAGGTCACAGCTGCCTGTAACTACAGCACATCCCATGCCTTCTTCTGGCCTCTGCTGGCGCTGCTTTTCATGTGCACAAACTCAACACACAGATACATACACATAATTAAAAATTTTCAAATGATTTTATTTTTACAAGAGTGAGGTTAAATAATTGTTAGCAAGGTAGAACCCTGTGGTAAAATATTAAAGATCAGAATGAAGACAGTCCTGGTAGCTCATACTAACTCCACCATGTGAGGGCCGAGCTCCATAGTGACATCCACAAGGACATTTTCACTCAGGACCCATTAGTCAGGTGTGGGCACCCTCAGCTTTCTTCAAATTAAACTGAAAACAAAGATGAAAGTCCTCTGGCTAACTAGGTCACTAGCCAGATTTTCATTGAAGTAAATTATTTGTGCTTTGTGTCTTTTCACCTTTTCTTTTCTCTAAAATAATGTCCCATCTTTGTTTCCCAGGAAGCTAAAGCCTTGCCCAGTTCTTTGTTTCCCAGTCTTCTGGGCTCGAGGATTGTTTAATAAGCATTGTGAGCACTATTGTGTGTCCTACAAGCCTGGCCAGAGGTTCTTATGAGGAAGTGTTTGCTCCTGGCTCCTAGTTGTCTTTATCTTTAGAGCCTTCCCAGTTTTGAAAAGAGCTGAGGCTGGTTTGGCGTGTTCATTTTTCATCCCTCGTTTTGTGTTGACTATTCGAATCGGCTCCTTTGTTTCCTTGAGGAGGTATTGAAACAAATATCCTTAGTCAAATGGTTTCTGTTTATGCTGCTCTTTTAGAGTCCTGGAAGCCTGCGGATACAGAAGGCAAGAAGCAATATGACAGGGAGTTCCTCCTGGACTTCCAGTTTATGCCTGCCTGTATCCAAAAACCAGAGGGCCTGCCTCCCATCAGTGACGTGGTTCTTGACAAGGTAAGCTGCATATTGCGGTAAATAAGGATCAGGATAAACAAATAAGCCGAATAGATGTTTATTCAGGGAGAAATAACTTACAACCTAGACAGATGAACACCAGGAAATTCAACCCGATCCTCTCCTGTCCGAGTCACGCCAGAAAGAGAGCGCCTTCCTGGCCCCCTCCGACCTCCTTCCTCAGGTCACCTCCGCCCATAGCTCCACCCCCCAATGGGCGTGGTCAATGCTACAGAAGGACTACCTCACTACAATTCCCCTTTTAGTCTAAAGAAAAGATTTAGGCTTAATACAAAACTATATACAAAACAGTGAATAACAAGTGTGCTCTAAGAAAAGGAAAATCGAGAACAAAATGACCTACATATCTAGTCCTAGGGTGAGGGCATAATGGAGTTTACAATAGAGGTCAGTACATCCTTGAAATACACTGGCTGATTTAGTTCAGAAGTTTTTTCTATTGTCCAGTGTCTTTCTGCAGCTGTTTTTCCTTTTTCATCAGCATTAAGAAAGTTTAATGTTAATAAAGCATTATGTAATCTGTGTTTGGGTGTTTTGGTTCCTCCTGCCTGTTTATGGAGCATTTCTTTTAAAGTACGATTGGATCTCTCAACCACTGCTTGTCCTGTAGGATTGTGTGGTATACCAGTTATGTGCTTTATCTTGTAATACTCAAAAAACTCTTTCAATTTGCTGGAGACATATGCTGGAGCATTATCAGTTTTTATTTGTGCAGGTATGCCCATAATGGCCATTACCTCTAAAAGGTGCGTTATAACAGAATCAGCCTTTTCAGAGCTCAGAGCAGTAGCCCACTGAAACCCTGAAAATGTATCTATAGTGTGATGTACATATTTTAATTTTCCAAATTCTGCAAAATGAAACACATCCATTTGCCATATTTCATTCCTATTTATACCTTTAGGGTTACTGCCTGGTGGTAAAGGAGTTTGGTTATAGAATGAGCAAGTAGGACATTTCCTTACTATTTCCTTGGCTTGTTCCCAAGTGATAGAAAAATCCTTTTTTAAACCTTTACTGTTCACGTGGTGTTTCTTATGAAACTCTGAGGCTTCTAGCACACTTCCTATCAATAAACGATCAATTTCATCATTGCCTTGTGCTAGAGGACCTGGCAGACCCGTATGGGATCTGATGTGTGTTATATATATAGGATGAGTCCTCTTTCTGATAGTATCTTGTAACTGTATAAACAATGAAGTTAATTCTGTATTGTCAGGAATAAATTCTGCAGTCTCAATGTGTAAAACGACTCTCTCTGCGTATTGAGAGTCAGTAACTATGTTGAGGGGTTCTTTAAAATCCATAAGTACCATGAGAATGGCATACAATTCTGCCTTTTGTACAGAATTGTAAGGGCTTTGAACCACTTTGCTAATATTTCCTGATTTATATCCTGCCTTACCTGATTTATTTGCATCAGTGTAGAATGTATGAACTCCAGAAATAGGTGTTTTTCTTACAATGCGTGGAAGAATCCAAATCGTTTTCTTTATGAATTTGATTCTCTCAGTTTTGGGATAGTTGTTGCTAATTGTTCCCAAAAAGTTACTGCAAGCTCTCTGCCAATATTCGTTATCTTTCCATAGGGAAGAAATTTCCTCATTAGTTAAAGGTACTATAATTTCTGCTGGGTCCCTTCCTATTAGCTGACGAAGTCTTAATTTACCTTTTATAATCAAGTCAGAGATCTTTTCTATATATGTTTTCAGTTTTTTATTCTGTTTATGTGGTAGGAATATCCATTCTAATATGATATCTTCTCTCTGCATCAAAATCCCTGAAGGATATTCTCTAGATGGTAATATAACCAGAATACAGTCTAGGTTTGGATCCACACGGTCCACATGTGCTTCTAGTATCCTCTTTTCTACCCATTCTAATTCCTTCTCAGCTTCAGCTGATAGTATTCGTGGACTATTCAAGTCCTTATCTCCTTTTAGGGCCATTTTCAAGTTTTTCAAATCATGCCCTTCTACTCCAATTATGGTTTGCAGTTGAGAAATCTCTCCTAGTAATTTTTGAAGATCATTAAGAGTCTGGTAGCGATCTCTTCTGATCTGTACTTTTTGTGGTCTAATTTTCTGTAGACCTATTTTATATCCTAAGTAGTTGATAGACTCTCCTTTTTGTATTTTTTCAGGTGCAATTTGTAATCCCCAGCGAGGTAAAACTTCCTTTACTTTCTCAAACATTTTTTCTAATATTTCTCCTTTAGAGTCAGCTAACAATATATCATCCATGTAATGATAGATTATGGATTGTGGAAACTGTTTACGAATTATTTCTAACGGTTTTTGTACGAAATATTGGCACAGGGTGGGGCTATTTAGCATTCCCTGTGGCAAAACCTTCCATTGATATCTCTTCACCGGTTGAGAATTGTTATAATTAGGTACCGTGAAGGCAAATTTCTCTTTGTCTTGTTCTTATAAAGGTATAGTGAAGAAGCAATCCTTTAAATCAATAACTATAATAGGCCATTCTTTGGGTATCAAAGAAGGCAAGGGCATTCCAGGCTGTAGAGAGCCCATTGGCTGGATAACTTTATTGATGGCTCTCAGGTCTGTAAGCATTCTCCATTTACCAGATTTCTTTTTGATCACAAATACAGGAGAATTCCAAGGGCTGGTTGATTCCTCAATATGTCCAGCATTTAGCTGTTCCTGAACCAGGCTTTCTAAAGCTTCTAACTTCTCAGAGGTCATAGGCCATTGTCCTACCCAGACAGGTTCCTCTGTTAGCCATTTTAAAGGTAGGGCTTTTGGTTCCTCTGTTTGTTCAGCATTTGTATTTTGTTTTTGTACTGCCTGGATATTTGGTCTCTGTCTTGTATAGTACTTAACAGTATTCTTTCCACAATCATGAGGTCGTCTATGGTTCCTATCTAATACAGGAGGAATGTTAATCTGTGTATTCCATTGCTGTAATAGATCACGACCCCATAAATTTATCACTACATCAGCCACATATGGTCTCAACCTCCCTCTCTGTCCTTCTGGTCCTATACAGTCAATCCATCTCGTGCTTTGTTTTACCTGAGCCAGGGTTCCAATCCCTAAGAATTGAACATTTACCTCATGCAGGGGCCATCTTTGAGGCCAAGATTTATTAGATATGATAGTTACGTCAGCTCCTGTGTCCACCAGACCCTCAAACAGTCTATTATTCATCTTAACTATCAATCTAGGCCTATGACTATTTATAGCAGTTTGCCAAAATATACGTTTTTCATTTCCTTCTGTCATGTTTGATTCAACTTCCGTCACTAGTTCGTCATCCAGAGCAGTATGAGTTTTTATAATAGGCACAGAATTTTCTAATTGTCCTGTGGGAGATTGTCTTCCACTGTGACTGGGAATGTTCGAACCACCTGTGACGTGGGGGCCTTCGAGAGGCCCCCCAAGGAGTTTCCCCGATGGTAAAGGGTTTCCTTGCTTGTCTCTGGTCGATCTACACTCATTTGTCCAGTGTCTGCCTTTGCCACACCTTCTACATAACCCAGGAGGCTGAGGCCTTCTGTTTGATTCATTCCTGGGGGTGTTACTTCTAGGGAAGCTTTGCCTACAATTTCTTTTTAGATGTCCTATCTTACCACAGTTATAACATCTGACATTATGATATCTTTTCAAACCTTTGGGGATGGCTTCTCCTACCCAAGCTTCTAAGTCACCATAGTAAGGAACTCTGTTATCTTGATATCTTCTCTGACCTTTAGATATGGCTTCTCCTATCCATGCTTCAGTCTTATTGTCATTATACTCAATGTTGCCTGTATATAGGACCCATTCATCCAAGGGTGCTGATCGCATTTTTAAAGGCCAAAGCACCTGTTTGCATTGAGGATTCGCATTCGTATAAGCTAAAGATTCTATGAGTATTCGCCTAGCATCTATGTCTGCTATCTCTAATTGTACTGCCCTAGATAATCTTTCTAGAAAGATACTAAAACGTTCTCTAGGTCCTTGCTTTATCTTGGTATAGGGTTCTATCCTCTCTCCTAATTCATGAACCTTATCCCAAGCATTCAAAGCTGCTGTACTGCATAGAGACAAGATGTGTTCATCATAGGCAGCTTGGGTTTCTGGGTCAGCATAGAGACCCTCACCAAGAATTTTATCTTGGGGAGCTTTATACCCTTTCTTTAAGCCCTGAAGTTCAAGAGCTTTTGCTTCCTCTCTCCATAAAGCCCTCCATTCTATTTGAGAGGCGCTTTCAAGGACAGCTGATATTAATTGATCCCAATCCTTAGGGGTTACCTTGTTATTCCATGCCCATGATTCTACTAATTGCTTCACATAAGGTGAGTGCATGCCATAAGAGACTACTGCTTCCTTTATACCTTTTAAATCTTTCATACGTATTGGTTCCCACTGATATGCAACGACACCTTTTGGATGTTTCTTCGTTGCTGGCTTTTCATGAATAGATACAGGGAAAGCTCCCCTGACCCTAAATGGTGTGGAAAATTTTAAATCTTTTTCATGCCCTATTACCTGTAGTTCTTCTTCTGATGTATCAGACTGAAGGTCTTCTAAAGCCTGAAATCTATTCACCATTGTTTCTTTGAGTGTCTGAACTTCTTGAATCAAATAACTTTCTAGAGACTTCATTGTATCAGTCAGTTTCTTACTTTCTCCAACTACAAATGATTCCATGTTTTTAATCTTATCATCCTTAGATATTATCTGAATGGCGTGTAAACTGCCTTCCAGAAACAATGTTCTATCTGCTAGCTTGCCATTATCCTCAGACATGGAAGAGATTCTGTCATCTAGTCTTTCTATCTGATGTTCCAGTTTTTTAAACTTATTAGTAGCTTCCTCCGACCAGGAGTGGGCTGTTTCTGCTAGTTTGTTAATGCATTGCATTGTTTCTGTTCTGGTTATTGAAGTATCTGACATTAAACAAATTATACCTTTCAGCTCGCCAACGCCATCTTCAATATTCTGAATCTTTCTTTCTATATTTTCTATGCTTTGAATTCTATCATTTTCAATGTTTCGAATCTTTGTCTCTATGTTTTGAATTCCATCATTTTCAATGTTTTGAATCCTTGTCTCTATGCTTTGAATTCTATCATTTTCAATGTTTCGAATCTTTGTCTCTGTGTTTTGAATTCTATCATTTTCAATGTTTCGAATCTTTGTTACTAAGTCTCCCATGGTTTGTACAAGTTCCTTATTGTTTGCTGTAATCTCAAACCATTTCTTTAAGAATATCATGTTAATGATGAAACCCATTGCTATTACAAAATAAAAGTATATATTGGTCCAGTCATAAGTTTCTTCTGCTAAAATCCCTTCTACATATGAAGTAAAATAATTCCTAAAGTTCTGCATAGTAAAATTATCTGCCATAGTTATAGAACAATTTATCTCAGATTTTATATCAGCTTAAATTGCAAAGGATGTTACAATTACCTTAGGTGTAATTCTGCTGTCCTGGAACTTTGATGCTTTTAGTTGTATATCTCAGCTTGTGGTAGCTACGCCTGGAGGTGTGTCATCAAATAGCGCCTAGCCGCCCAGGCTCGTCTGATCCCGGTTCCTGTAAAAAGTTCTTAACAAACTATGGCAAGCAGAATTTTGTTAAAAGGGGACTTTTGGAGTTACTTGTAACACAAGACGAAACGCGTGCAAGCCGGGCGGGTGCCGCCGGGTGGGTGCCGCCGGGCGGGTGCCGCCGAGAGGCTCTGCGCGAATGCAAAGTCCCGTGCGGAAATGGGCAAAAAATGTTAAGCGGTAAGTGCCTTCTCAGGTCTGCTTTAGCGGCAAAGATCTCCTTTGCAGTAAGGAAGAGGCAAATGTCCCAAAGCTGTGGTGAGTCCACCTGGTTAAACCCTGCCCGTTGGGGAAGGTGGGGGGGGGCGGCTTCTGCCGCCTGGGGGCAAAACCCAGGTAAATCCCACTTCTGACACCAGATATTGCGGTAAATAAGGATCAGGATAAACAAATAAGCCGAATAGATGTTTATTCAGGGAGAAATAACTTACAACCTAGACAGATGAACACCAGGAAATTCAACCCGATCCTCTCCTGTCCGAGTCACGCCAGAAAGAGAGCGCCTTCCTGGCCCCCTCCGACCTCCTTCCTCAGGTCACCTCCGCCCATAGCTCCACCCCCCAATGGGCGTGGTCAGTGCTACAGAAGGACTACCTCACTACAGCTGCATGCTTGGTAGAGAGCCGGTGGTCTGAGTGGTAGTCAAGGTAGGTGCAGGGCGAGCAGCTTTTGTGACTGTTAGGTCACGAGCATCCAATTACTGTTGTCTTTTAGTGTCTTAAAAGTCATGTTTAGGCCCTTACTATAGTACTGATTTGTTGTTTCTTTTAAATTTTATTTATGTATGAGTGTTTTGATTGTATGTATGCTTCCAGTGCTCAAGGAGATCAGAAGAGTTGTCACATCCCCTGGAACTGGAGTTGAGGATAGTTGTGAGCCACCATATGGGTGCTGGGAACTGAACCCTGGTCCCCTGCAAGAATAAGTGTTCTTAACTGCTAAGCCTACTCTCTAGCCCTGAATGTTGTTTTTTTAGAACTGTGTCTGTTATGAGCAGGTTTTCCCTGCTGGTCTGGTCCCACTGCCTGCGCCAGCCCCAAATAATACACAGGGACTCTGTATTAGATATTATTCTATTGGCCAGTTATTAGTTTCTTATTGGCTAGCTCTATCTTAATTATTAACCCATCTCTATTAATCTAAGTATTTCCACGTGGTCTTATCTTACTAGAGAGAGGGGCTGGCATTCTTCTCTCTCAGTCCACCATCTCAGTCTTCAAGGCTGCTTTGTCCAAGCTGTTTTGAATTTTGGATCACCTGGGACTCTGTTTCAGGGGGTCTGCCTTGATCAAACCACATTAGTCTAGAAGGAATCTACAGCTTTTCATTTTCTGTAGAAACAAAAATAGAAATCCTTTTCCTCAGTAACTTGTCCTTAGACTTAAATTTTGGAGTCAAAAGCATTTTTAAAATATATAAATTGAATTAATCCAGCAGCATTTCTTTTAACAGTTATTTCCTCAGCAGTCAAACAATTTAAAGATAACAGAATAGCATATAGAATCCAAAGTTTCTCTGTGCTTTCCATCCTAATGTGTCTATTTCTTCTACTTCTATTTTTTATTTTTTGAGACAGGGTTTCTCTGTGTAACTTTTATCTGTCCTGGAATTAACTTCTGATACCAGGTTTACTTTGAAATCACAGAGATCTGCTTGCCTCTGTCTCCCGAATGCTGGAATTAAAGGCGTGTGCCACCACACCCAGCTACTCTGTCTTTTTAAAACCATTTTATTCTTTTTCTCTCCCAAGCCTACGTATGTGTAAACCTTTAGAGGTTTTTCTTAATCTGAATCTGTCTTTACTGTAAATCTTTATCTTTTTCTTCCCACGAGTCTCTTATCTGGTAAACAACAACATTCCTAAAATGAAAGCCATAGCTGTTTTAGCCACGGTCTGTCCAAGATGGTGGGGGTACATGTACTGCCAGAACTGAGAGCTGTGCTCACTACCTTGATCTATGCTGCCGGCTTGCAGATGTGGTCTCTGCCGTTGCCAGCTCTCGTACACACCAGTAGGTTGTTAGCAGAGCTCTTTAAAAGCCTTGCGGGTTTTTTGCCACTTATGCTGAGTCAGGAAACCTCCCTTAAAGGAGCCGCTCAAATTTCTGCTTGTCTCTAGGAAAATATAGAACCGAGAAAAATGCTGATACCTAGGAACCTTGCTTGTCTCTGGTTTTTTTTTTTTTTTTTTTTTTCTCCCTAAAACACTGTCTTAAGCTTTTGTTAAGTTTTTTGCCCCACGTTGGGTGTCACTATGTTATGAATAGGTTTTCCCTGCTGGTCTGGTCCCACCACCTGTGCCAACCCCAAATAATACACAGGGACTCTGTATTAGATATTATTCTATTGGCCAGTTACTAGTTTCTTATTGGCTGGCTCTATCTTAATTATTAACCCATGTTACTTCCATGGGTCTTATCTTACCAGAGAGAGGGACTGGCATTCTTCTCTCTCGGTCTACTATCTTGGATTTCCTCCCTACTCCTACCTCTCTCCTAGTCTCCTAGTCCCACCTATCTTGCTTTCCTATTGGCCAACAGTGCTTTATTCATTAACCAATAAGAGAAACATATTTACAGAATGACACCTCCCATCATGTGTTTGCTTATGGTGGCTTTCTTCTAGTGATGTGATAACCTTCCTGTGAGTTGGAAGAGCCAAGGCTGGATACATAGAGTTCTTTCCCCCAGGTTCTAAAGTCTGATTAAGGAGTAGCAACAGGGTGGGTCAGAAACCAGAGAAGATATTTAAGATGAAACTTTGGTGTCAGATGACATATATCAAAATTTTCCCAAGAGTCACTTTAAGTCATTAAAATCCCTAGTGCTTTGCATAGAGACAGACATTCCCTTCTCTTCGAAGTTTTTAGTATGTATTTATTACTTATATATGTGGGTATTTGCCAACATGTGTGTATGTGTATCACATGTGTGCCTAGTGTCCATAGAGGCAAGAAGAGGGTTTCAGGTCCCCTAGGTCTGGAGTTACAGATGTTGTGAATTGCCCTGTGGGAATAGGGAATCAAACACCAGTCTTCTGCAAGAGTAGTAAGTGCTCTAACCAGTGATCCATCTCTCCAGCCCCAATTTCCTTCCTCTTTACTTTTGGTTTATATGGTGCACGATGAAAATTATTAAAGTTGGGGCTTGTTTATTAAGTAAAGAGATTAGGGGCATGGGGTTGACGTAAAGCACTCATCCCCAGGGACAGCCACTGATATCCTAGTGGTCACAGCATCATTGACATCTCTGGGAGCTTTCTGGCACTGAATGCACCAGGACGTTTGTTCTTTAAGCTTTTCTGTGCTTCTTCATGCATGCAGATCAACCAGCCCAGACTGCCGATGCGAACCCTGGACCCTCGCATTTTGCCTCGAGGACCTGACTTCACCCCAGCCTTTGCAGATTTTGGAAGGCAGACGCCTGGAGGAAGAGGCGTGCCTGTAAGTGCCAGTACCCTACAACAGCCCAATCAGATAGGAAGCTGTGGTAGACATCTTGTCTGAGGACAGGGTGTGGCTTTTGTATGCTGAGTCCTGTGATCAACAAGTAGAAGAGGCAAAGACTATCCTTCATAATATACATATGAATATTAAAACAAATGCACAATGCACCTCTGTGTCATTTTTACTGCAGTAACTTGATCTGGTCTTCATTTGTCTGATGTTGAAGTGTCCTGCACATGCTTTTGCTACAGCACCAAACTTGGTAGGATTCTGAGAAGTCATGGTATCCTAGAGATTCCAGTGGCACTCAGCCAGTCCTCTCATCTTTGTTTCTACAGACTTACATAGTGCAGAGCATACATGGATTGCCATTTTTGGAACTGAACACAGCTCCAGGCTGCACTCCTCTGGCAATATCTCTCTTACCCGTAAAGAGCTTACCTGTGGGGATGTGCCAGATCTTATTTATTTATTCATTCAAGTTTTTGTTTGCTCGAAACTTAGGGAAATGACATCTACAGAAGTCTAGTATTGGTAACCTACACGTTATTGTACACACAGTGGCAGCCTTTTCAGAAGAGGAAGTGGCATCACCAGTGGATCTGCACTGGGCACCACACTGTGCCATATTCTTCAGGCTCTGCTCACTCCCTCTCTGCTTTGTAGAACGGCACAAGTCTGGGGCTCATTGCTTTTCCTCAGGGTGATGACATCTGGGTTACTCCCGTTTTGCTCAGTTTTGTTCACAAGTGATTCGTGAATGGTACAAATCCAGGCATGTCTCCTTGTAGTGTTCCTTCTCAGTTTTTATTACCAGCTTGTTGTCTATTGTTTTTCAATAGTTGAATCAAAGGAAGCCATATGAGTTGAGAACAAGCTGTACCTCGTAAAATAATGAAAATGGAAAATGAACTTTTAAGGTAACTTTTTGGGAGGATATAAAGGTGACTTATTTGGTCACGTGCTTGCAACTAAGCCTGAGGACCTGAGTTCAGTCCCCAGAATGGAACTCATGTGAAAAACCAGGTATAGACATGATGGCGCTCGCCTGTTACCTCATCACCTCATTTTCAATCTGGCATAATCACGGCACAGGATCCCATGTGTGGGTGTTGAAATGCATGTACTCATGGTGGGTAGGATGTAAGTCATTCACTATATGGTACTGTTCTTAAAGAATACTATATCTTTAAACTAAATACTTTAAACTTGATACTTCATAGTGTTAGTGCAAAGTACAGCTTTCAGCTTGAAGTCAATAAGAGTTTATTTTAGAGCCAAACGTGAGCGCAAGAAAACAGATTCAGGTTTTGTCAAATACTGTATTCTTACTTGGTGGCAGTTCTGTGACTTTTTGTGCTAATAGCAAAAGAATGTCATTCTTTAAATATCCTCTTGGAGATTTTAGGTAGTGAGTTATAACCAAGGACGGAGATGTTGGTCTCAGGCCTCACAGGCTGTATGATGACAGACACTCTTGTCCCCTGAGGTTGTAGATGCTAGTGGTTTGTTAGTAAATGCCAAAAGAATTCCCTGATGGTCATAAGGATATTAGGTCAAATGCAGAGGTGGACAATCAATGACTTACTGTTGGAGCTAAAGATAGCCTGGGACAATTTGACTTGGGGCCTGTGACACTTGGCTTTCCATGATCACAGTGCAGGTATCAGTTTGCCCTGTGTATAACCTCTTAACACTGGATGACTTTCCTGTGGGAACGTGAAGCAGGTAAAGAGATGTTGCAGGTTATAGTCTTGAGGTGTGCTTATTGGTGTTTGCAGTAATTTTTGTCAGTGACCATCTTCAGAGAAGACTCTTTGTTGTATCGCGTACATGTGTGGTATATGTCCCTGGGCAGACCAGCGGTCCTTATCTGGTGTGTGCATCTATTGCAGATGACATGAGTTTGTGAGACAGGGTCTTTTGTGGAACCTGGGGCTTGCTGTTCCAGCTACACTGGCTGGGCCCCATCCCATTGTCACCAAGATCACAGGTGTGCATGCTCACCTCATGCATGCCTGTCTTTCCCGTGGATGCTGCGGGTTTTGAACTCCAGTCCTCATGTTGTGTAGTGTGCTCTTTACTACCCGATCCATCTTCTCAGTCCCTCATTCCATGACTTCTGCATGATTTCCATGTAATTTCATTCTACCCAAGTGCATCTGTTTTTATATCCAAGTGTGGGTTAAATTAAATGTCTGAAAGCATCATTGTTCTTGAGTTATGTCAAACTCTGAAAAGGATACCCCCACATTCTGCCTCAAGAACATCACCTAAATAGTAAAATCCAGATAGTGTTTGGCTCAATGAGCTGTCTGGCCTAGATCATATGTAGAAGATTCATTTATAAGTAAATGTCCTTAGAGCCTGATTTAGCAACTGTCCCTCATGGTCCAGTCTCTCAGTTATATCTCATACCTCATCTGACTTGTTTTTTGGTTTGTGTTTTGGTTTTGTGCACTGGTGTTTTGCTGTGGGTGACAGTTGTGAGCTGCCATGTGGTTGCTGGAAATTGAACCCAGGTCCTCTGGAAGAGCACTAAGCCATCTATCTCTCCGGCCCCTTGCTTTTGTTTTTAATGTCTGCTAAAACACTGGGGAGTCTGTCATCAGTGCTGGGTCCTTACTATATACATCTGACAATGCTAATGGGGATACGAAATTTCGTCCTGATGCCCACGTGACACCACCATTTCTAGTGCTTGATTGATGGTTGTGTAAGGGATGGTTCCGGGCATTTAATTGGAAAATAACTCTAAACTCATCAGCCTAGCCTGGAACCATGTGTGACCTCAACACTGCTTTCCTAGGAAGCCTGGCAATTTAGTCCATGTTTTTCTTTCCCAGAGTTCTCTATGTATTTAAAAGGGCAGCATCCAGTTAGTATCTGAGACACAGGTGCAGTTTGTCTTATGCAAATTTTTTCTTCCCTCTTAAAATCTAACGGAATGATTTTTTCAGGAGAAAATGTAGATAGTGTGCATCAGGCCTGAGAGGTCCCCTCCATAGTTAACTGTGAAAAGTAATGCTGTGTGTGGTGGTAGTGGTCCACTGTGAGCCCAGTCATAGAGGAGCAGACACAGCCAGTTCAGGGTAACCTCACCTGCAGGTGTGACCCTGCCTGTGTCCTCTCAAAAGCGCATACACCGTGAATTCCAGCTGTGACAGATGGATCTCTGTGAGTACAAGGCCAGCCTTGGCTACATAGTGAGATTGTTTCAAAGAAAAAGTGAAAAACCAAGAAAGGAAACTGATTTCAAACATTTAAGGTGGTAGCTGTCAGTTTTACATACAAAATAAAGCTTTAAAAAATTATTAATTTAAGAGTTTAAAAAACAGACATATGTGTCTTTTGTGTGTGTGGTTGTGTACGGGGGTTCACTACCTACAGAGGTCTAAAGACATAGAATCCTATGGAACTAGAGTTCCAGACATTTGTGAACTGAGTTACATAGATGCTGGGAACTGAACTCTCCAGTCCTCTGCAAAAGCAGAAGGTGCTCTTAACAACTGAGCCATCTCTTCAGCCCCTTTAAAATTGTGTGTGTATGTGAGTGTGCTTGCGTGCGTGCACATGAGTGTAGTCCCAAGGCAGCTAGACTAGGGCATCAGATCCCTCAGGGTTGGAGTGACAAGCGCTAGTTGTGAGCTGCCAAGCCTGGGTGCTGCTAACCAAACTTGGGTCCACCAACAAAGACATATGTAGCTCTGCCTGGCCTGGAACCAGCCATGTAGACCAGGCTAGCCTCAAACTCACTGAGATCCTCCTGTTCTCCCTCAAGTACTGGGATTAAAGGTGTGCACCAACACTGCCTGTCTTCCAGTAAACATTCATAAGGCTGAGCCCTCATACCAGCCCTGCACAACTTAATCTCTTGCAGTAACAATACATAATTTGATAACCACTGTATCGTTGGTGCATATTGGTATTACTACATGTATTGTAGTAGGAGGGGATCAGAAATATGCAGACTTTTTTTCAGTAAATAACTGTTTCCAGAGAATAATTGATGAAATAAGGTGTCCCAATGATCTGACTTCAGAGTGGGTATCTGTCACAGAAAATGTAATAATAAAGCTATATTTAAATTTTACCCTTAAAGTTCATAAATACAGCTTTTGTATGGATTTCCTTATCGTTTTAGAATTTAATGATACCTAATTTGTTGATTTTGAGACACAATCTCACCCTTAGCTCAGACTGTCCGAGAACTCACTATGTAGCCCAGGCTGATATTTCTGTCTCCTGTTCCCTGTGCTGGGCTGACAGGTGTGTGGGTGTGCGATACTACAACTGGTACAGATGATTTCTTCTTAACTTGCTTTCTTTTCTTTTTACAGATAGTGATTGGGGCAGATTTGTAACTGGGGACTACTACTATGAGTGTTAGTGGAGCACGAAGTAACCGGTCGTTGCCATAGCTGTGATACAGCCACTGTGTCCTATGCAATGTCAACTTCCCTTGAGCACAGGCTCCTGGGCAGGATTGGGAATGATAGTTTATCAGACACCATTTTTTGATCCTTTTGGCCCTTTAAGTAGAGATGTTTTGGTAATGATATTCTGCCACCATTTTTCTTCTTCCTAATACTCACAATTATTCCTAACTTGAACACATAGTACCAGGTGTTTTCATCTAGAAGGTTTGGTGTGACCGTGAGGCTTGAGTAACCCTGCAGACACAGGCTGCTCCAGGTTCTCTGAATGGATGCAATGTTCTTGTTGTAGTTGTTGAATGTTGGGCCTCGGAGGTCTCAGCCTGGCCAGAGAAGGGAGCCCAGAAAGATCATCACCGTCTCTGTAAAAGAAGACGTGCATCTGAGAAAGGCAGAGAACGCCTGGAAGCCCAGCCAGAAGCGGGATAGCCATGCGGACGACCCCGAAAGCATTAAAACACAGGTGAGAGGCTGTGAGCTCCAGCTTTGCCTTGTAAGTTCTTCGGCCTTACCAGGATGTGGGAAGGTTTGGTGTGGTGAGGCAGGGCCCTGGCCGGTTCCAGTTCACACAAATCCTGTCTCATCAAGAATGTTAGCCACCATAACCTGGCTTTTTTTTTTTTTTTTTTTTTTTTTTTTTTCTAATGGCATTGTTTTGTAAACCTATAAATGATAATCTATTTCTTCTTTATTGGTGGACTTAAAATATCACTCCACTTAAGGCTTACCTGGCATGGTCCTCAATACTACAAAGATACAAGGAAGAAACCACTGTGTCCTTTTCTGTGGCTCATGCTGTGTTCATATGAGGCTTGCTTTTCTCCATTTTTAAAAAATATATTATTGTCATAATGAGATTCATTTTCATGCATGTTCTTTATTTTGATTTTTATGTGTAGCTTTGGAACCTATCCTGGAACTCACTCTGTAGACCAGGCTGGCCTCGATCTCAGAGATATACTGGCCTCTGCCTCCTGAGAGCTGGGATTAAAGGTGTGTGCCACCACTGCCTGGCTCATTTCTACATTATTTAAAGATTTTTTTTTTTTTAATTAAAATCTTTTTACTTCACCCTAAGCAGGAATAAATCTGTAATAAATCTGTGGCCTGAGAAATGCACAGAAGCCTGGTTGGCAGTTGAGCCTATAGAGGGTACTGGGTAGAATTCATGGGTCCATGGGAGGCAGGGTGTGGAATCAAGACTGCAGGTGATTTCCTGACCTTTACGTCACTGAAGTCCTTGCTAAATGTTAAGGAACGGGTGGTGGGAGCTCGCTCACCTTGATTGTTCAAATGGGTGTGTGTAAGACTAGTTAATCTTTTTATTTTAACCCTCTAGGAACTTTTCAGAAAAGTTCGGAGTATCTTAAATAAACTAACACCACAGATGTTCAACCAGCTGATGAAGCAGGTGTCGGGCCTTACCGTGGACACCGAGGAGCGGCTGAAAGGAGTCATCGACCTGGTCTTTGAGAAGGCTATTGATGAGCCCAGTTTCTCTGTGGCTTATGCAAACATGTGTCGATGCCTAGTAACGGTAAGAAGAGAGGAAGCAGTAAAAGCAGAACCACCAAGAGGTATATTCTCCCCTCACTGCACATTCTTCCCAGTGTGTTATTGGGGCAATGGAAAGGGGAGAATATATTGCTAATGCTCATGTATAGTGTACTTATTAAAAAGACTCTTCACTAACCTAACATCTGTCCCTACCATTTCGGGGTAGGTTTATGGTGACTCGATTGAAATGGGCATAGGCTTATGATTTCCTCCAACCCAGGGAAGACTAAGGAACGTTTGAGTTAGTAATGTGGAATTATGTCCTAGGCAACAGTTTTATTCTGGAGCGTCATCTTATAGAACTAGAGCAGATGCTAACTTTAACATAAGCTAAATTTAAAATTAAATTAACTCCTCTAATTCTGGCCTCTGGAAATGAAAAGATCATTGTCTCATCACCGAAAATGTTTAAAATCTGATCATTTCCTCTCCTGCTGGACGTAGTAGCTCATGCCTTCAGTCCTAGCACTCAAGAGAATGAGGGCTAAGCCAGCCTAGGATACAGCATATAAATATAAATAGATAAATATAAATAGATAAATAACTTCCTTTTCTTAAATTGTCCACAGCCATTTATTCCAGGCTATAGCATACATATGACTAAAGTACAAATAAATAACTTTTTAAAATAAATTTTTATCTAAATTAAAAACATTCTTATTTACCAACCCCAGTTACCTCTCCCTCCCGTCCTCCCATGCCCCCACCAACCCATAAAACTTTTTTTAAAAAAGCAGGTGTTGGTGGCTCACACCTTTAATCCCAGCACTCAAAAGAGGCGGAGGCAGGCAGGTCTCTGTGAGTTGGAGGCCAGCCTGATCTACAGAGCTAGTTCCAGGACAACCTCCAAAGCAAAACAGAGAAACCCTGTCTCGGGGGGGGGGGGGGCAGAAACTGAATAAAATTTAAAGACTCTGTAAGCATAAAATTCCTGCTTAGATAGTCTTCTAACCACCAAAGTAAGTGTGGAAAGGGAGACGGGATGGAGAGAGAGTGGTGGATGGAACTCGTTCAGTGCATAAACCAGCAGAACTCTTCCTGAGCCTCACTGTTGCTTAGTCACTATGTGACTGTGTGTGTGCACCACAGCCGCATTTGTCTGTTTCAGAGGAAAAAGCTATGAAAACTGACGCAGGTCTACAAGTTCCTAAAGACTATGAATCAAGACAAACTGTGTGCATACTCCTGTGTATGCCTGGGTAGCTAGGAGAGGACGTCAGATTCCCTAGAGTTAGAGGTGGTTATGAGTGGCCTGATGTGGGTACTGGGAATTCTAGCCTATGAAAGAGCAGCAAGTGCTCTTAACCACTGAGCCATCCCCCCAGCCCTCAATCATTATCCTTTGTGAATTGATACAACCTTAGCTCCAATACTGAACTAAACTAATCTTCTCACCAGGGACTTCTCCCTCACCACCTGTCAGCATCTGGAAGTACTTTTTAGTTATCGCTGGCATCTTAGGAAGAACAGGTTAAGGCTACTGCATACATGTTACAATGTGAAGAGGGTGTGACAATACCTTTTCAAACCAAATGGCTCTAGTATTCAATTTCGGAAATCCTACCTGTGAGTGTTGCTGTTGAAGATTCAGGAGATTCTAAAGATTCTAAAGAGTACAGTGGAGTCCCTTTTTTTCTGACATTGTTAGATATGTTGAGGATATTGATGTTACAGATTTCTCCCAGAAGCCATACATTTGCAATTGGTACCTCTCCCTACACACTGTGCTCAGGCAAACTGTCTACAGTTTCAGGGGGTCATCAGAGAAAATTGTGCTTCTGATGTCACAGCTTCTCGCAGTTCAATTGCAAATGTCTCTCAGGAATCCTTCAGGACCCTCTTTGTGACTATGAGGCACATTACCAGAATTTAACACCTCTTAGTCTGGAGAAAAGTGTTGGAGAAGTGTCCTGTAGATAATTGTACCTATAGATGATGATGATTTCTATCTAGGCAGGAGTATAGTTACACACTCAATGCCAGGAAGACCCTGTCTCAACAATAAATGAACAAATATACCAGCCAGGTATTGTAGCACTCAGGATTAGATGCATGAGGATCATGAAAAGTTCAAGGCTAACCTGGGCTACATACCGAGTTCTATGCTATCCAGAGCTGTATGTAGCACATACCATTCTCAAATGAAGAAATTTAAATAAGTAATATTTTAAAGATTTTTTTTTTTTTTTTTTTTTTTTTTTTTAAGTATAGTGTTATGCCTGCGTGTATGCCTACACACCAGAAGAGGGCTCCAGATCTCATCATAGTTAGTTACTAGGAATTGAACTCAGGACCTAAGCCATCTCTCCAGCCCCCTAAATAAATACATTTTTAATTAAAGAAAGTCAACTGATTTTATAATCTTAAGTTGCCATATTTTGTTTTAGTTATATTCAAAGTGAACATCCCCATTTCAGAATGCCTCTGAATTACACATTGCTCGAGTCTTTATGCCTAGATTGGCCCTGTGGGTGAGAAAATGAATACGTCAATACAAAAGTGCGCTGGCTTGACATGAGCTAGTCATCAGAGAGGAAGGAGCCTCAGTTGAGAAAATGCCCCACCAGATGGGACTGCACACAAGCCTATGGGACATTTTCTTAATAGTGACTGATGTAGGAAGGCCCAGCCCATTGTGGGTGAGGCCAATGCTGGGTTGTTTGTCCTATTAGAAAGCAGGCTGAGCAAGCCATGAGGAACAAGCCAATAAGCAACACTCTTCCATGGTCTCTGCATCAGCTCCTGCCTGTACCTTTCTCTTGAATCCCTACCCTCACTGCTTTTAATGATGAACTATGAATAAAATAAAGCCTTTCCTCCCCAAGTTGTTTTTAGTCATGATGTTTTATCACAGCAGTAGTAATCCTAAGTCAGGTGTATATAGAGCTGGCCTATAATTCTAACAGGAACATCATGGGTAAATACTTTACTGTATGGCCTGGGATACATGGGAACCTGTCTCAAAAAGTCACACAGAGAAATAAAACAAGAACTTGAATGAACTGCTTTCATGCCCTGTGAGAAGTTCTCAAGCTTTAGCTGCGTGTCGGGTGTGTGATCCTGGAGTATGAAGAATGAGGCTTACTCAGGAGGTTAAGCATCTGGGTGTTATATCCTATGTGGAACTTGCAACATTTCCACTGGATAGGCTTTCCAACAAAACAGAGAAAGAATGGAGGAGTTGAAAGCAGTAATTTATGGAAAAGCAGATGTATTATTGCACACCTGTAATCCCATCCCATGGGAGACTGGCAGGACACTCATGCGTAGGGGTCTGCTTGCCATTACAGATCAAACATCTGTCTTGGACAGTAGGATAGAGCTGAAGTGACCTGAGTGAGCAAGCCTGTGCAGCTTGCCCAATGCACTGGAGCAGTAACTGGTTTTTTTTAAATGAGCCCTCTCTCCATGCAGGCATACCTCTGTGTTTTCGGTGTGTCCAGTAGAGATGCCTTTTCTCAAGTCCGTGCATAGTGCACATAGCATGCTGTACACGCTGGTCATTGAGGGAAGATAGCAGTAGGTTGGAGGACCTACATTGAGCAGTTCACATTAAACGTCAATACCTGTCTTATAGGCTGGATGCAGATTCAGCACAGATGTGCTGTCTACTTACATTTTCTCAGGCCAGTGTATGCTTTCTGGGAAGATGGTTGCTGGGTAAGGGCTCAGCACAACCTCTGTATGTTCTGAAACATTCTGTGACTTGTCTCTAAAAGAAAAATAAAAAACATACTACTGCATATTGATAGTCATGGTCAGTGTGGTCCAGTGTGAAAATGCCCTTCCGGGAAACTTAGGGCAACAGTCTGCAAAAGCCCTGCCCTTTCCCAGGTTCTGCTGGGGCCCTGAAATTCTCCCTTATTTTGTGTTATTCCGCTTGTTACTTTAAGCCAAAGTTACTTAAATCATTTTGTTGTTGTTTTTTTAAACTAGGGTCTTAGGTTGTGACTCAGGTGATAAGGTACCTGGTGCACATGCAGCTCTTAGTCCCCAACACCTTTAATCCCTGCATGGTAGGATACTCCTTTAGTCCAAGCCCTTGGAAGGTTGAGCAGGAGAATTAGAATTCAGGACCACCTTTAAGACACAGTTATTATTAAGATGGGTCAGTGGATAAAGGTGTTTATATGCAACCTTGATGAACTGAATTTGATCCCAGTAACCCATGTGGAACATGAGAATACTTCATGGGTGTACCATGCCTGTACATACATACATACACACACACACACACACCTACACCTCATGTAAATTCAGTAATAATAAACAGGATAACCCTCTACAGTGTAAAAGTCTAAAGTGTAAGGTGGTTGACAGTTGATAACAGATTCTGTGTTAGCTTGAAGCATATCCACAAAGGACAAGAAAGTGTGTACGAGTGTGTGTCTCTTCTGCATAAGAAGCATGACTGCTTTTCATTACACTGTGGAGATGACTGAAGCTGCATTTTTAAGGATGCTTACCTGTGTGTATGTCTGCATTAGGTAATTTAGCTGCCTTTTTACTTTTTTCTCTGAATGCAGCTAAAGGTACCCATGGCAGAGAAGCCTGGTAACACAGTGAATTTCCGGAAGCTGCTGCTAAACCGTTGCCAGAAGGAGTTTGAAAAAGATAAAGCAGATGATGATGTCTTTGAGAAGAAGCAGAAAGAACTTGAAGCTGCCAGCGCTGTAAGGACTTCACATTAAGTACTGTCAGAATTGTCAAATAGCTAGCTGTGGCAGCTTCAGGGGGATCTGTTATTGCTGGCATCTCCTCCTGTGTATGTGTGGTTGGGGGGAGCAGTGCGCGCATGTGTGTGTGTGTGTGTGTGTGTGTGAGAGAGAGAGAGAATGTATGTTTAAGGTGTGTGTGTGAGAAAGAGAGAGAGGTAGTGTTTCTGTGCGTGCGTGAGTGCGGTGGTTTATTGCCATGTGACAGGGCACTCAGCTCCACAGCAGTAGCCTTAGGTTTTAGAGATGTTGCTTGGCTCCACAAATCTTGATGGATGCACACTTCTGCATGTGGTTTTTGAGGAGTTAAGCCCTTTCATTGTTTATGTCCCAAAAGACATTTGAGTCCTAGAAAACATAAGATCTCCCATCTTAGATGCTCTCACCCCTTTTTACACAACAGCCAGAGGAGAGGACAAGGCTTCATGATGAACTGGAAGAAGCTAAGGACAAAGCCCGACGGAGATCCATCGGCAACATCAAGTTTATTGGAGAACTCTTTAAACTCAAAATGCTGACGGAGGCCATCATGCATGACTGTGTGGTGAAGCTGCTAAAGAACCATGACGAAGAGTCCCTGGAGTGCCTGTGTCGCCTGCTCACCACCATTGGCAAAGACCTGGACTTTGAGAAAGCAAAGGTAAAGATCCAGGGACTCTGAAGGCTGCAAGCACAGCTCTCATTCAAGTACAGAGATTGGCTGTCAAGAGCAATGTACCCCACCCCAACAGCCTGTGTGCTCGTCCTCTGCTCTTGTCATTGCCACAGTTTGACTCGTAATGCTCTTTACCTCATTTGCTTTAGACCTGAGGTGAGGAAGTCCCTAACCATATGCAGGTCAGTTTATGGATTCTCTAGCTTGCTTGGTCCTTCTCTTTTTTTCTCCTATTTCGTAGGTTGTGAGCAGAAATGGGTTAAGAAATGGACAGGGCCTGAAAATGAGAGTAAGAAGAGCTGGTAGGATTGTTTCTCTTGAGACAGAATCTCACTGCATATCCCAGGCTGACCATCCCACCCCTACCCACCCCCCCATGGCATGTGTGCATCACCATGCCTGCCCCAAGTCACTTTGTTTTTCTTGTTTTGTTTGAAACAGGGTTTCACTGTGTAGCTCTGGATGTTCTGGAACTAGCTCTGTAGACCAGGCTGGCCTCAAATTTAGAGATTTGCTTGCCCCCGCCTCCCAAATGCTGGGATTAAAGCGTGCGCCACCACTGTCTGGCAAGATGTTATTCTTAAATCACCTAAAAACCTACTTTGCACCTTAGGATGGTTGCACACATCCGCAATCCAGCACTCAGGAGGCTGAGGCAAGAGGATTCCAAATTTAAGGCAGCCTGGCCTGCATAGTGAGACCCTTTATAATAAAAATAACAAACAAAAGTACATGGAAAAAAGAAAATTGAATTTCTTAGCCAGAAGTCTTGATGATTTTATGTGTTGCAGCCACGTATGGACCAGTACTTTAACCAGATGGAGAAAATCGTCAAAGAAAGAAAAACTTCGTCCAGGATTCGATTCATGCTTCAAGATGTGATAGACCTCAGGCTGGTATGTCAGGTCTCTATTGTTTTGATAAATTACCATGACTAAAAGCTACTTGGAGAGGAGAGGGTTATTTCAGCTTGCAGTTCGTCATCAAGGAAGTCTAGGCAGGAGCCTGGAGGCAGGAACTGAATCTGAGGCTGTGGAAGATACTGCCTATTGGCTTGCTCACCCTTTGTGTGTGCCTGTGGTTTTTCAAGACAGGGTTTCTCTAGGTATCCCTGGATGTCCTGGAACTCATTTTGGAGGCCTGGTTGGCTTCGAACTCACTGAGTTCCACCTGCATCTGCCTCCCAAGTGCTGGGATTGCATCTGGCCAGCCTGCTTTTTCACGAAACGCAGGACCACCTACATTAATCAAGAAAGTGTCTGCAGGCAGTCTGGGTATTTCCTCAGTTGAGGTTCTTCCCAGATAATTCTAGCTTGTGTCAAGATGACAAAGAGGGGAAAAGAATGAACACAAAACCATGATGAAGTCTCATCTGTTTTAAGGATAAAGAAGAGGGTGGTGTTTGTGTGGATGAAAAGTAGTTTTGCTGCATGTCCAACCCTGAACTGACCTGACAGAAGGAAAGTGCTGCCTCGTGAGTCCCTTCCCCACACTGTGGCTCTGACATTGATCATCAGAATTCAGTGTGGCTAATGAGACCCAGGCTTTTTAAGCCAAGCAGTTGAATTTAATCTCCACAGTGAACATGTTAAACTCCTAAGTCTTGTGTTTCCTTTCCACAGTGATGCTATTGCTACCTTTTAGGTCTTACAAATACTCTGTGAGATAAATATGTACACCATACTTGTAGATGTTACTACCTTGTTCTCTCCATGCACCCTGTCATGCCAGCTGTGGTGTTTGTTCGCCTCCTTTTGTCTTGGTTTAATCCCTGTGGTGACTACCTCAGTTGAAAGTATAGGCCCTGCCTCTTCACACCCATTCCCCATGGCATTGATGAGACCTCTATGTCTTACTGAACCCTGTTGTGACCTTGAAAGCAAAAGCACAAACTAAATTCAACATGTTACCACTCAGTCTCCAACACACTTGCTCAGTTCAACCATTGGAGGTGGCGGGGATAAAGTGAGGCAAGTTTTGTCTCCTGAGGAGAGAGAAGCAGTTTTGTGTGACATTCTAGGTCAGGTACCAGAGTCCTGTTACTGAAGTGGTAATCATCTTTGACTCAGAACCCTGTGAACTATGGCATGAACTGGTTTTATGAGCCCTTGTGTTACACGGCCCTGGGGAGTCCCCATTCTTGTTGGCCCACTCCCTGTCCCCTTCCAGTGTAGACAATAATGAGGGCTGTATCGAGCACGTTTTCCCTCTTTTATCTGCCAGTTGCTGGAATATGCACTTCATGCCCCACCAGTTACTATTTTGTTTGCTTGAGTCCCTGGAGTAAACTAGCATAATTCTCCATTTTGTAGGTATTTTGTTTGCTTCCTTTGGTTCCTGGTGGAAAGTTATGGGCTGGGGGTGGGGGTGTTTTTGTGGTTTGGTTTGGTTACTTGATTATTTTCAATATATTGGGTTTCTCTCTTGTATCCCTGGCCATCCTAGAACTTGCTCTGTAGACCAGACTGGCCTCAGACTTGCAGAGATCTGCCTCTGCTTCCTGAGTGCTGGGATTAAAGGTTTACACCACTACCACCTGGGCAAAGTATAGGCTTTTATTTTTATTTGGAAAACTACTATACTATTGTTCTTGTGTGTGGTGCCGAGGACTAAACACAGGGCCTTGTACGTGGTAGGCAAGCACCAAGCCAGATTTCTGGTCCTTTTTGTAAACTTTTGCATTATTGGACTGATAACCTTGTTTTCTACTTTCATAGTGTAATTGGGTGTCCCGAAGAGCAGATCAGGGCCCAAAAACTATTGAACAGATTCACAAAGAGGCCAAGATAGAAGAACAAGAAGAGCAAAGGAAAGTCCAGCAGCTGATGACCAAGGAGAAGAGAAGGCCAGGTGAGGGCAGAGATGGCTGAGGTGGGGGGGGGGGGTGTGCTGGGGACTGTTAGGTAAGACCTGGAAATGAGGTCACAAAGAACAGAGAGGTGGTTGTCAAGCAACACCAAGACCTGAGACTAACCATTGAATAAGGGAGTGCCAAATGGAAATGTGTGTGCTGACTTATGCAAAGCCAGGCATTCATAGGCCTACAGTGAGCATCTTCCTGCCTCGATGTCCGTGCAAGGTAAGAGAAAGAAAACAACTCTCTTGTGTGTGTGACAGTTAACTCCTCCAGGAAATACTGCCCAGTGAATGCATGTGGTGTCCTCAATGCAGATGGATTCTTGAGGCAGGTTTTTTAGACTTAAGAATGGTGTGAAATTTTGAGGGAAGAGAGACATGCAAAATGGAAGAAACCTGGCTGGTATTTGAAAAGATTTCAACTGTGAAATGAAATTAACATGCACTTCCAAATGGAGTAAACAAGCCTGACTAGAGTGTAATTCCAGTGTTTGGACTGAGTAGACAGTTTGCTGGGAAAACTGAGATCCAGAACTTAGTTTTGGTTTCTTCCTTTCTTAAGTGCTTTAAGTAAAGGAACATTGTCGAGGAAGTGGTTTGTAACAAGGACATTTGTCCCGTGGTGTAGGGGGAGCCTGCCTTGTGTGCCAAGCAAACAGGCTGCAGTTGATCTTCTGTAAGCTTCAGGCTTACAGCTTTTCGCACAAGACAAACATGTTTGTTAACTCTACTGTAGCCAGTTTTCTTTTGGGCCACCAACCACACCCCAAATCATGACCTGGAGACTTATTAGTTTTGAATGCTCAGCCTTATCTTATGCTTGTTGCACTAGCTCTTATAACTTGAACTCACCTGTTTCTCTTCTTTTTATGTTTCTTTTATTCTGTATATCCTACTAATGGCTGGCTGGCCCCAGGCATCTCCCTCCCTTTCTCCCTGATTCTCCCCAACATCCGCCTCCCCCACCCCAGCCCAGCCCAGATTCCTCCTCCTACTTATTCTTTCTGACAACCCCATCTATCCCTCTACTGCCTCGCCTTTGGGTTGGTTTTTTTTTTTTTTTTTTTTTTTTTTTTTTTTTTTTTTTTTTGTTTTTTTTGGTTTTTTTTTGTTTTTTTCTAGATAGGGTTTCTATGTGGCTCTGGCTGTTCTGGAACCCACTCTGTAGACCAGGCTGGCTTTGAACTCACAGATATCATCTACTTCTACCTCCTGAGTGCTGGGATTAAAGGCTTGTGCCACCACCACCTGGCTCAGCTTTTTATTAGATCAACCAATCAGGTGCCTTAGGCAGGCAAAGCAACACATCTTTACATTGTTAAACAAATGCAGCATAGACAAATGTAACACACCTTTACATAGTTAATTTCCACAACACTCCACATTGTAACTGTTTCTGAAATCTTGTGTGAAAGTAACTGAGACTTTGTACTAATAGGAATAGAAGAATATACAGAGCTGGAGAGGTGGCTCAGTAGTTAAGAACATCAGCTGCTCTTGTGATGACCCCGGTTCTGTTACCACCACCACACAGTACTTCACAGCCATCTGCCACTGTAATCCCAGGGCATCCAACCTCTTTTGGCCTCTGATAACATATGGGTGTGTATGGATCATAGACATGCATGTAGGTAAAGCACTCATACACAAGATTGAAAATGATCCATTTAAAAGAAACAGGCTAGAGGTTGAGGCAGGTGCGGCTGTGTGAAGACAACGCAGAAGGCACCTTCTGTCTGAGATTGGCCTCTGGATGAAGGTTTGGAGCAGCTCTGCTATTTCATAGCTGAGTGATCTTGCACAAGGCACTTACTTGCAAGGTAGACTGAGGAATTTTGCCTTGTCTGGCAGGATATCTGGCTCCGAGTGAGCATTCAATTACTGTTTATTGGCTAGTACTTAGCACAGACACTGTGTCACCCACAATGGAACTGTCAGGAGAGCTTCGGCTTCCAGAAAGCAAAGTTTACATTTTCATTTCATGGTCTGCCCCACCAAGGACTTAGCATCATGCCTTTCAGTTAATGACTTTCATTTACCGTTGAAGAATATCTGGAGAAAGAAATTCCCCCATCAGAAGGCCGTGTTTTACAGCACAGTGTTCAGAAAGAGCTAGGGTGTAGATTTCATTGAAAGAAGTGGCGAGTGTTGATGGTCACTAGCCTCAGGTAACAGATAGTCCGTGTGTGACACAGAGCAGCTTTCGGAAGGCAATGCAGTGATCGATCATTTTTTCCTTTACCCAACGAGTTCCGAGTGCCTGTCACTTAACTAGGTCATGTGCTGGGCAGCAGTAAATAAACACTGAAGTAGAATATATCATTTATTAAACTCTGTTCCATGGAACAGTTTAGAAGAGAGAAATGTGGGCAATTGCAAGGCTCTAATTGGAGCAGGTGCAGTTTTATTATATGGCGTGCCTTGGTGGTCAGAGAACAACTTGAAGGAGCCTATTTTCTCCTTCAGCTGTGTGAGTCCTGGTCATTAGGTCATTAGGCCTGGCAGCAGCTGCTTGTTAAGCTGTCTCACCGTCCCAGGGGATTTTAAACAGGGAGAGGAAGGGAGCCTGTGCCTGTTGTTGCTGCTGAGCCAGCCTGAAGCTGGTGAGATGGGGAGGTCACATGCACATCTGTGGGAAGACTGAAGAGAAAGCACAAAGATCCTGCAGGCAGTATGTTCTCGAAACAGGAGTGTGTGATTACAGCTGTGGGCCTTGATGATAGAGGGTCACACATGAAGAGGGGGACAGAGGCCGTGGGCACCAGTGTATGCCATTTGTAAAGAATCTTCTCTTTTTCTCATTGAGATGATGACAACCAGATGTGTTTCAGACCGAACAACAGCGAGATGTTTGCACTTTATAGAATCCCAGTATTGGGTACAACGTAAAGCAGATGCCAGGAAGCCACAGCAGAGGTTGATCTGGGGAGCTTGAATAGACCTGCTGACATTGAACTCAGCACCTTATAGGTGGCTTTAGCCTGTGATACGTTAATGGATTAGTTTTTCATCTTTTGTTTTGGAGACAGGGTCTTGCCATATATCTATGGCCAGCTCGGAACTCACTGTGTAGCCTATGCTGGCCTAGAATTCCTGGTTCTCTGGCCTCTGCCTCCCAAACTCTTGAGTTGGCAGGTATGTGCCACCATGCCTGATATATATTAAAGGTGGACCTGTCAAGACCTGACAATTAAAAATGAAATTTGAAGAAAGAGAAGTCAGGGGTTTTCTCTTGAGCACCTAAGGGTCAGAGAGGAAAGCATGTCTGTTCCACAGATCCGTTCATTAGTCGTGAAGTCCATCCCATTATAGTTAACTCTGCCAACGCCAAACTGCCCCGCCTCGGCCAATAGTGGATGGAATACCGAAGAGTTGTGTCAGTTGTTTTGTTGAGATCTCTAATGTTTCTTGAGAGGCAGAGTGCCAGGCCTCACATTGGCATGCCATGAGGATTAAAGGTTCCCCAGGCCAGGTGTATGAGTGCTGCACATCATGTGCAGCCAACCTGGTCTACACAGTACGGCCCAGTCTCTCAAAGGGAAAAACAAGCTTTCTCTTCATGGGACTGCCATTAATATTCTAGTAGCTTTGTTATCTCTTTGGTGACACTATTGCTCATTCTGTCGCTGCTGCAGGTGTTCAAAGAGTGGATGAAGGTGGATGGAATACTGTTCAAGGAGCCAAGAACAGCCGAGTTCTGGACCCCTCCAAATTTCTGAAAATCACTAAGGTGAGTATGATGCTTTGAAGAATTTACAAAGCTGGGTGTATGCTTGGAGTCCCAGTACTTAGGAGGATCCAAAACATGGAGCCATCCTCAGCTGCTTAGCAGTTTAAAGCCAGCCTGGGCTACATGAGCTCCAGCCTCCACAAGCCCCAAGTGTGTGTGTTCAAAATTTTAAATATAGACACAGTTTACAGAGCCAAGTGTGGCAGCACACACCTGTAAATCTAGCTCATATGATGTTGCAACAGGAGGATTGCTGTGTGCTTGTGGCCAGCCAGAACTACATAAGCAAACTGACAAAGCAGTTTGCACAACCCTGGGCAGTGTTGTATTAGAAGAATCATTTGAAACTCTGTATTTCATTTGACAAATTAATAAGCTGTTCTGGACAGAGTTGAGCACACCCAGGAAGGCAGTATGACCACCATGCTGTTCTGTGTTGCCTAATCCAAGTAAAAGTTTAGAGGCCCAGGGGTCCCACCTAAATGAGCACAGCTCCAGTTCCTGATTATTTAACTTTGAAGGAAGGTATCCTGGCTGGCCTGGAATTTGTTAGTAAGCGAGGCTATGGTTGAGCTCTGCCTCCCTACCACTGGGATTAAAGGTGTGCACGACCACTGCCTGGCTCAATTCATGTTTCTTAAACTGAAACTCTAATAGAATTATGTTTGTACTGCACTAAAGAAAGCCGTTCTAGAATTTACCTGTGGATGACCCCTGACCACTTTTATTACAGCCCACCATTGACGAGAAGATCCAGCTGGTTCCTAAGGCGCAGCTGGGCAGCTGGGGCAAAGGCAGCAGCGGTGGAGCAAAGGCAAGCGAAGCTGGTATGTGTGGAGGGCCCTCTTCTGGCTGCCTGGCTCTGGTACTGCCTGGCATTGCTTTCCCAGTGTCTGGCATTGTTAGAAAAAGGTCTGTAGACTGATCTTCCTTAACTTTCCATAGTGGCTCTCAATATTATGAATAAAAGCTTCCTTTTCTGTAGGGCTCTTCAATATGTAAAATTGTTTTAACTCTCGGATTTATTTTTATCAGTATGAGCAGTTTGCCTGGAGGTTTGTATGTACACCACTTGCGTGCATCTTGCCTGCAGAGGTTCCAAGAGGGTCTGGAATTTGTGATCTAGAATTACAGGTGGTTATGAGCTGCCATCTGTGAGAGCAGCCAGTGTTGTAACCACTAAGCCATTACTCCAACCTCTCCACGTTTACATTAAGTTTTTATGTGTTTATTTTTGGTCTTTTGAGACAGGGTTCCTCTATGTGGCCCTGGAAACTTATTCTGTAGACCAGACTGGCCTCAAACTCAGAAATCTGCCCGCCTCTGCCTTCTGAGTGCTGGGATTTAAGGTGTGCCAGGTGAGCACCATATGTTTTTTTTTTTTTTTTCAAATGCCATAACTTTTAGAATTGGAAATGAAGACAGAAAGATCCCCTGTGCATGACTTTAATTCCAGAACTCAGGAGGCAGAAGCAGATGGATCTCTGAGTTAAGAGACCAGCCTGGTATACAAGAGTTCCGATAGTCAAGGCTACTCAGAGGAAACTGTCTGGAAAACAATCAAAAGTGTGACCCCCCAGTAGGTCTGTCATGATCCAGTGGAAGTTTCAATACCTTAAGAATATAAGTAGCAGAAATTGGGCTTGGTGGGGTATTTTTTGTTTTGTTGGTTTGTTTTTGTTTGTCTTTGTTTAAGGGCAGGAAGTTGAGAGGGGCTGGAAATGTATCTGGGAAAAGTTCAGGAGAGTAATTTGGGGTAATTATGATTAAAATACATTGTATGATTCTTGAGGAATTAGTAAAGATTTTGGGGGATAAGTATGATTAAAATACATTGTATGATTCTTAAAAGAATTAGTAAAGATTTTTTTTTTTTTGAAGTTCACAATGGAGAACCATACAATTTAATTGCACATATGCAAAAAACCCTCTCAATGTTGTGTCCTACTCAGGGTAATTTACATCCTGGGGGCTTTTTGTTTGTTTTTTGTGGTTGGTTGGTTGGTTGGTGGGTAGGAGTGTCTGTGTCTGTGTCTGGATCCCATGAAGCCCAGGCTGGCCTGAAGTCACTGTGTAGATGAGTTGACCTTAACCACCTTGACTCTGCCTCCATCTTTCTATGACCTGAGATTACAGACTTGCCACCACACCTGGCTGAATATGTTTGTAAGAACAGAAATTTGTAGTGAACATAAGTCTCCAGGCTCTTTGATATGCTAATACCCGTGCTGTCCTTGTCAGAATGTCGTAGGTGTCACCTGCACTTCTTAGGAATCACTGTCTGCAGCCTCCCCCTCAAGGTGCCCCATCTCTGCTGATGCTAGTCACTAAGCATTGGGCGGGCCAGGTTGGTGCTTGGATGGGAGGACTTACTGGTCATTGAGCTTCTAACCTTTCTTTGCTCTCTTGCTTGATAAACTATTATTTCCACTCTGTTGCATAATGAAGTTACTGCCCTCGGGCTGGGGCTGCAGTTCAGTTGGTAGAGTGTTGCTTAGCGTGCACAAAGCCCTGGGTTTGAGCCTTCATGATTCAGGAAATGGGTGTGGTGGTGAATGCCTGTGATTCCAGCATTCAGAAGATGGGAGTCATGAGGAACTGAAGTTCAAAGTCATCCTTGGCTATGTAGTGAGTTCCAGACTGGCCTGGCCTATATGAGATCTAACCAAAAAAGGAACAAGGGTGGGGGTGGGAGTTCACCCATTGTCCCCAGAGTCGGAGCCCACCTGGACAACATAAACCTGTTTCAAATTTTAAAAGGAAAGAAATTCCTGGTGTTACTCCTTAATCCTGGGAGGCAAGAAAACAGCGTTTGCATATTAACCATTCGATTTGTGTTTTTTTTTGTTTGTTTGTTTGTTTTTGTTTTTTTTTTTTTCCTAAATCTACAACACCTATAGATGCATTACGATCAAGTGCTTCCAGTTTAAATAGATTCTCTCCTCTGCAACCTCCAGCACCTTCAGGGTCCCCATCAGCCACACCGTTAGAGTTTGATTCCCGAAGGGCATTAACCAGGTGAGAATTTACTTTTCACATTTGCTAATGACTGTCCTGCTTGCCTGTGTCTGTGTCCATGGCACACGTGTACTTTCTCTCCTTTCCTGCATCTCTCTCCCTCTAACATATGCTAATTGTGGTGATAATCCTTGCATGCATTCTGGTCATCCCTAAAGTTAATGTCTTCCATTAATCTTGGCATACCATAATTTCTAAGGTAGGAGTATAGGCTTTGGGGTAGACTAGAATGAGGGGAGAGCAGGCCATGCTTTGTGTCCTAGGTAAGCCCAACTGCCCACATAGAGAACAGTACAGGCAGGTCTGGGCCTTGGAAAGTTCCTCTAGCATAAGAATGTCTTTGCACTGGAGTGTGTAAGGTAAGGAACATGACCAGCCACCAGCCAGCCATCTACTTTGTCTCTGTTCTTCAGGTTATACAATGCATTCCACTAGTAGATTTCTAGATGTTGTTGTTCATTCCTGAGGCTTCTGCAGCAGTCTGGTGAGCACGAGCCAACTGTTTGGGAGTATCTGGACTGTGGCCCATTGCTTCTGTGGACTCTGGGGCCCTGATTTTCATGGGCTTGTATATGTTCTCTGGGTTGACTTCTGTCCCACTCCACTCTTCTGCTTCTCAGTCACCACAGTCTAGACTTGTCTGAATAAATTGACAGGGAGATGACCAAAGTTCTTGGTTCTTGTTCTCTCTCTCTCTCTCTCTCTCTCTCTCTCTCTCTCTCTCTCTCTCTCTCTCTCTGTCTGTCTGTTTGTCTGTCTGTCTCTAAACTGGAGTTACACAGAGTTGTGAACTGCCATGTGGGTGCTGGGAATTGAACTCTGGTCCTCTGGAAGAGTCGTCAGTGCTCTTAACCACTGAGCTCTCTCTAGCCCCCCAGAGTTCTCTTCAGATAATAAAGCACAGGTTTTTGGTTGGTAAAAGTCATTTCTACTTCTCTTGGATGGTTCCAAGTATTTGCGGTTTGTGGCGTTTCTCAGGCTGTGGTTGGGCTTGGGTAATGGTGGTCTCCTGCCATTCACTCAGCTCACAGCTCTTCACTGCCTCTTTTCTTCAGAACTTTATAAACTAGTAAGGAACTCGACCACCTCCTAAAATGTTTAAGGCCCTGGGTTTAATCTCAGACCCCCACTCTCAAAACCATACAGTTGAAAATAAAATTTTCATGCAGGTCTTTGCACTATCCAGAGTCTTGACTTATATGTAATAGACTCAGTGTTATGATAAAGCTCTAGGTGGATTCCATGGCAGGACAGGTTGACCAAGGCGGGTGACAAACATGCCAGGCAGACAGAGCTTAAGTGAGAAGTTTTATTAGAAAGGGGAAGTGGGGGAGGGAAAGAGAAAAGAGGTAACGAGACACAGAGAGAGGACAGATGAAAAGATGGAGACAGGAAAAGTCCTGTCTGCCCCAGGGGAACAGCAGGAAGAAAGAGAGAACAGGAAAGGGAAAGAGCTGGGGAAGAGGAGCAGGAAAGAGAGCATAAGTGGGCATGGGGTCTTTCTTTTAAAGGGGTCCTTTGTACCTTCCGGCAGACTATACAATCATGGAATCCTGAGCTGACAGGGTACTGCCTGAATGCATTCTGCCAGGTGATAGGGGCAGACCAGCATAATGCCTGAATCCTTACACTCAGTGTTTATAGGAGACAGGGCTCTGTGTCATCCATACTTCTACTTTTTAGTTATTGCACTTGTGTGTGCATTGGGTAGGGTAGGCAGGTGTCATTTATGTATGTGGAAGTCAGGACAACTTGAAAGAATCCGTTCTGGAGAACAACTCAAGTCATTAGGTTGGCAGCAAGCACCTTTACCTGCTAAGCCATCTCAACATCCCCCATGTTAATGTCTTTTTGTTAATTATTATGATATAAATTTTGATGAATACGGTATATTTAGATATATTCACTTCCCTATAGAGCCCCTGGACCATTCTTCCCTCTATGTCCTCCTTCCAACTTTATACCTTCTACTTTTTATTTATACACACACACACACACACACACACACACTTATACATACATACATACATACATACACACACACACACACACACACCCTTCCTTGCAGAGTTAGAATAGCCAGTACGCTCCCTGGTCTAGGGCATGCACTGGAAACTTGGGCAGCGGACCATGGCTCACATGGCTAGTAAGAGCAGACTCTGCATCTCTCCATAGCCATCACCTGAGAGAAGCCCCAGACACTGAAGTGTTTGTTTGGTTTGTGTTTTCGTTTTTTGAGACAGATTTCTATGTGTAGCCTTGGCCGTCCTGGAATATGCTCTGTAGATCAAACTGGCCTTGAACTCTGCCTCCTGAGTGCTGGGATTAAAGGTGTTTGCCACCACTGCCTGGCTCATACTGGAGTTTTTAAAGAATGCCTTTCATCCTTGAAAATAAAGCTCATTATGCATGTATATATAATATGGTATATATGGCAAATTATTTTAAGTAAAGAAATCAAAGTCTTCACAAAAATTAAAAAATAATAAGTATCCTTTTCCTACTAAAGGTAAAATTCAGACAGCTTAGCAAGTGAAAACTCAAATGTGTGCCTGATTTGAGAGTTAGTGGACTTTGAAATATAGTCAGTGCCTTGTATCCAATGTCATGTGGGAGGCTGACAAGTGGATCAGCTGGTCATGTACTTGCCAACCAAGGGTGATGACCTGAATTTCATCCCCAGTACCCATGTTAAGGTGAAGGAGACATCTGACCCCTAAGGATGCTCTCTGGCCTCCACATGACTGCCACGGCAAGCTTGTGCCCTCACAAAAATAAGTTAATATTTAAAATAAAGTTATGTGTGGAAGGCCTGCGCTCTCGGGTAGTTGTTAATACTGAGAGCATTGTTCTGTGGTTTGAATATGAAGCACCAGGCACATTGCCTTTTGAAACATGTTGTTTTGTCTTTTAAGTCGTGGGAGCATGGGCAGGGAGAAGAGTGACAAGCCACTTCCAGCCGGAGCAGCCCGCCCCAACACTTTCCTGAGAGGCAGCAGCAAAGACCTGCTGGACAATCAGTCGCAGGAGGAGCAGCGCAGAGAGATGCTGGAGACTGTGAAGCAGCTGACCGGAGGCGTGGATGCTGAGAGGGCCAGCTCCGAGGCTGACCGGAGCAAGACAAGGGAGCTAGGTGAGCTGGCTCTGGGGCCAGACAAACCCAGCTGTTGGCCTTAAGCAAAATGCAGGGACTGGAGGAATGACGCAGGAGTTCAAAGCACTGATCCTCCTCCAGAGGACCAGTACCAGATGGTGGCAGCATCCTGTCCTCTTTCTATGTTTGTCATTCTGAGTTTCTCACAAGTCCTTTCAGCACCTCCCTGTCCATTGTCATTAGAGTGTGGTGTTAGAGCCCCTGGAGGGTGTGAAGGCATTCACATTATTCCTGCTTACCAGAGAAAAGGTGTCATGTGTTCGCCAGCCTTCTCTTCCCTGATAGCATGGGTCTGTTTATATTTAGCATGCATGTGCTCCGAACTTGCCCTGGTGATGCTGTAGCACTTCCTTTGTGGGCTGTGTTTTTTTTTTGTTTTTGTTTTTGTTTTGTTTGTTTGTTTTGTTTTGTTTTTTATCCACGCACCTATACCCTATACAGTTCTCAGTAAAGTAAAATGTGAAGTTAACATGAAGAAATACTTGGAAGACACTGATAGATACAGTGGCTTTGAATGGTCTTAGAGGTAATGATGACTAGTGGAGATGAACAGATGTGAAGTGGAGGAGAGCATTGCTGTGGGAACAGCATGCACAGAGTTGCAGTAGGAGAAACCAGGGCGTGTCATGCAGGTACCACACTGGGCTGGTATAGCCACCACTGTGGCATACAGCACCCCAGCCCTTGTATGTTGTATAGGCCTTTGTGTAGTCATCCTCGGAGTGGTTGCAGGAAAATCAAAATATAGAGACTAAAGGTTCGAAAAACTCCTTATCCCTGTTCATGACTGTAGAGCAGATCTATCTGTTGTAATGTTAAGGTCTTCTTGACTCTGCTCTCATGTGTCTAACTCAGCCAAACTGCTATCTATCTATAAAACATCTCCATTGCAAAACCAGTGTGAGAGCATTTAAATATTACCAGCTATGATCTGACTCTACTGATACTTCTTTTTTATCTCATTCATAGTGAAATCAGAACTGTGCGCAGTGTCAGCCCCTGACAAGCCTGCATTGTCAGAAGAAGAAGTGGAGAGGAAGTCCAAGTCTATCATTGATGAATTCCTACACATCAATGACTTTAAGGTTAGTGCTGACGACAAAGGGAAGCAAGCGACTCTAGTCAACCCAGGTCAGAGAGCTTGGTACTGGCCTTCCGAGGATGGATAACCCAGTTGCCACGTTTGGTCTTACTTGTTTTTTTTTTTTTTTTTTTGGGGGGGGGGGTGAAGGTGGGTGGTTCAGTGGGTGGGTGGGTGGGTTGGTTGGCTGGCTGGCTGGCTGGCTGGCTTAGGGTTTTTTCCCAGAAAGGGTTGTATGTAACATCTCTGTCTATTGTGGAACTCTCTGTAGACCAGGTTGGCCTCTGGCTCCCAAGTTCTGGAACTAAAAGCATGAGTTTACCATGCCTGACTCACATTAAGGTCTTTGAATGTTGATATTGAATTTCTGTTTTATAGTATCTTGTTTTCAGATTTTTAAAATGATGCATATGGCACACACCTTTACATCATCCATACACATTATATGCATATATGAATGCTAATTTTAATTAAAATATTTTTTTCAAAATCAGTAAGCACAATATAAAATAATATATTTATATGTTAATCTATATTTGTCTTTTGAAACAGTCTCATACTGTAATAGAGACTGGCCTCAAGCCATGTGGCAATCCTCCTGCCTCAACTTCTTGAGTGCTAGGATTACTGGTATGAACCATCACACTATGTTTAGAAACATATTTTGTCACTCGTTCTTTGAGTTATTTTTAATAAAACTGCTAACCTGGGGCATTTAACTGTTCTTGTAGAGGATCCAGGTTAAGTTCCCTGTATCCCATGTGGCAGCTCATAACCAACTTTAACTCTAATTCATCAGACCTGATGCTAGGCTTCTACATACATGTATAACACAAAAATAACATAAAAGGCACCCAAAGTGTTGGCTATATGAGGTCATGCTCCTGGAGGGGAAGGAAGCTCAGTCTCACCATGTTACCCAGTCTCCATTTCAAAATTGATTAAAGCCACCCTCCTACCTCAGCCTTCCAACCAGCCCAGCACAACTAGGACTACAGGTGTGTGCCACCATGGTCAGGTTTTTTTTATGCTTTTATTATTTACTGATGTGGGCCCTTACTATGTCACCCTGGCAGGCCTTATAGCCAATGGATAGCCCAAGATAGGTCCAGACTCAGCAGCCTCCTTATAGCCAATGGATAGCAGCCTCCTTATAGCAATGGATAGCCCAAGATAGGTCCAGACTCAGCAGCCTCCTCCTGCCACAGCCTTCTTTGTACACATCACCACACTTACTTGACCTTTTCATTTCTTTCCTCTTGCCTTTCTTCTTTGAGGAATTTGCTATAGAAACCTTTTAACATTAAATAAGATAAAAACCTGGATTGCGAAACTGTCTTGTTTATAAAGCTTTGTACTGCTTTTAACATAAGTAGATTTTGAAGCAAGCCTTTATTTGTTGTTTGACAGGAAGCCACGCAGTGTATAGAGGAGCTGAGTGCCCAGGGCCCACTGCACATCTTTGTGAAGGTGGGTGTGGAATTCACCCTGGAACGGAGCCAGATCACCAGGGATCACATGGGCCACTTACTGTATCAGCTGGTGCAGTCAGAAAAACTCAGCAAGCAGGACTTTTTCAAAGGGTTGGTATCTTTACATCTAAGCTGATGGGTAATGGTTTCCATCAATGACCTTTGTGTCCACTGTAGTATGTCAACATCATGTGCTATGTTGGTTGGTTGATTGATAGAACAGCAGTTTGTAGGCTAGACTAGTGTATGCTGGTTATCTTGTGGTTTTCTCTGAGATCTCCATCTGGTGTCTGTAATACCTGACCAAATAAACCAGAACTCATTGTCACAAGACTTTAAGTCAGAGATCCTCCATTTGTTTGTTTCTCCTCCAGAAACTTTTTAAGTTTATGTGAAATGGTCTGGAGGTCTTAGAGATTGCCTGAGACTAAGGTTCCTACATACCTAAATATTTTTCTTCTACAAGAATCGTAACAATGTAAACTTAAGAAGTAAATACTGTCAGGCAGACGTGGCTCACACCTTTAAACCCCAGTACTAGAGAGGCAGGCGGTTCTCTGAGTTTGAGAACAGCTTGGTTTTTAGAGCTAGTTCCAGGACTACACACAGAAACCCTGTCCCACAAAAGAAAGAAAAGGAAGGAGGAGGAGAAAGAGAATACCTGTGAACTAGTTGAATGGAAACCCTATCTGTGCTCAGAGGAAAAGGGTGGTTTTGTCAGCAGTATGGATTTGATTCCCAACTTTGTTTTGGAACCGCAAGTCAATAATCAAGAATGTGAGTGTCTTTTAGTTGTGATATGAAGTGAAAAAGATACATTGTTGAATGACAGGATGGCTTCAGATACAAAGCTTACTTATGCTATGCTGAGAGCCCACAGAACATGAGTTGGCAGGATCAAGTGATTAACCCAGAAATCCTGGAGTTCCTCCAGATTGTGTCCCCCAGCGACACACTAACAGCAAGAGTGTGTGCACATAGAGAGAGCATGGCCAAGTCTCTTCTGCATAGCAAGTGGATGTCATAGCATTACAAGCTGTAAGGTCAAAAATGTTGATGTTGGGTTGGCTGAAAACCACAGTGAGGTGAAACTGGCTGTTTTGAAATGATAGCTCAGGGAAGCCACCCTGCCCTGTGGAGAAAACTCCTTTTACATGGAAATGAAGTAGTGTGGAGGCCTCTGAGCTGAGCTCCTGACTGGGATGTGGGGCAGCAATGGGAAGGCCAGCGTACGTGTGCCATTTATAGAAGACACAGCAGTCCTGGCTTGCCCTTCATTCCTCCGTCCTTCTGATGTAGCTGGCAGATTTGTGCATGTCTCTTGCCTCTGGTTTTAAAATCTGTTGTATGAAAACCATTGCCAGGCAGTGGTGGTGGCACGCGCCTTTAATCCCAGCACTTGGGAGGCAAAGGCAGGCGGATGTCTGTGATTTTTAAGTCCATCCTAGTCTACAGAGTGAGTTCCAGGACACCTAGAACCGTTTGTTACACAGAGAAACCCTGTCTTGAAAGAAAGAAAAAACCATTAGCAAAGCCCTGAATTGTCTGCATTAAGTCATTGGCTGTAGCTTTCAACCCACACATGACTGTGCCAACTCCTCAGAAGCCTTTTCTCATTCTTTCTGTGTTTTTGAGACACAGTCGGGCTCTGTTACAGCTCATGTTAAACTCAAGCTTACAGCCCTCTTACCTTAGCCACCCTGTGGCTTAGCCTTCCTAAGTTTTATATTTAATTCCTTTTATTTTACTTCACATTAAGAAATACATTTCATAGCACAAAAGCCTGAAAAAACCTTGGACCACTAACACTTGTAACTTAGAATAATGCTTGTTGCAGCATGCCCTCTTATGTTCTCCCCGTTTTCCCATCATGTGGGTCTCTAAGATATAGAAGTCTGTCTCTCCTCCCCTGAGTCTCTGGCTGTGTGGTACCATGTGTTTAGTCTATGATTTTATGATAGCTCTTACCCACACTTTGCCTGGCTACCTAAGTATTCCAGAAGTCACTTCCCTACAGATATGCTCTCTGCCCTCCCTCTGGCACTGCCAATCATGCTCTCCTGGTGTTTGCTCTGTCTTCAGTTTGCTTTACGTTGGAGTTCCGTACCTGACAGGACATGCTTAGAGTGCACAGACTTGTTACTTTACTGATATGGATCCCCATTTAATTTTAACTTCTGAATTACATTTCAGTGATTTTTTTTTCCTTGTTCTTTTTCAGTTTTTCTGAAACCTTGGAATTGGCAGACGATATGGCCATTGATATTCCCCATATTTGGTTGTACCTGGCTGAACTAGTCACCCCCATGTTAAAAGAAGGGGGAATTTCCATGAGAGAACTTATTGTGTAAGTTGTATTTTTTCTTTTTAATATCTAGCAGGGCAAACGGACTCAAAATTCTGCTACTCTGTGGCATAGTGCTGTCCATTGGAGCCTCTGGATACTCATGGACACAGCCTATGACTCTTAGCCTTCGATTGCAAGGGAAACTTGATACATTGTCTAGACTGGCAATGTGTTGGGGATAGTAGAGACCTGTGGTCGGTGGAGGGTGGTGACCATTGCAGATACAGCTCTGAGGGTGATGTTTCAGGGGGTTTCCTGTTACTCTGGGACTGTGGCCACCTGTGCTGAGCCGCCCTGAGCTGCTCTGCTGCATCGCACGCTGGGGGTTATGGGAGTGTCCTGAGCTAGGTGTGAACTGGGATCGGTGCTGCCATGTGTTATTCATCTTCTCACCGTCAGAGCACTGCTGTCCTACGGCAGTTCATACCATTGCATTACACTCTGCAAACACCGTGACCCTCCTTTAAAAAATACACAAGTGCACATTGGGGATCGTGAGACCCTCGTGGGGAAACAAGCAAGAAAAATGATTTAACTGGGCATGGTCATTGAGAGAAGGACCTTTTTTGAGCAGAATTTAGTTTAGGGAAGACTGGTTTAGGCTATGGAAACAAATGGTTTCTTTCTGCCTCACTCAGAAAATACCATAAAGAAAAGCGCATTCTGACTTAAATGTTCTTGTGACTGAGCCTTAAATGAATGTCACTCTTTCATTTGATGTCATGGGTAAGTTAAAGCCCCTCTCCTGCTCATCCACAAAGCACAAGGTGACCAGGAAGTCTAATTAGCTAGCCTGCATCCTCTGTTTGGCACACATCATTTGTCTGCTGCTCTCTGCAACAGACACATTGTCAGTAGTTATTCACAGCTCCTGTCTTTTACAGAGAATTTAGCAAGCCTTTACTTCCCGTTGGAAGAGCTGGGATCCTGCTTTCTGAAATACTGCACCTTCTATGCAAACAAATGGTGAGTGTTAGCTGAGTGCTGGGCCTATTGCCATGGCCAGAAGGGCAGTGATGTGAACAGTTCAGGTCTCCGTGTGCAAGTAATTCTATTCCTTTTTCATCTTGGGAAGAAGAGTGTGCCATTGCTTGGCTTATTCCTATCAGAAGCACATTTGCTCTTCTGTCACCAAGAATTGTCCAATTTCAGCTAAAATGGATTGCTGTGGTTCTAAAGAATCCAAAGATACTTATTATTTGTGCCTGTGCGTTTTGTCTCTTCTTGAAACAAAGTGACTATATTAATACTTTTAATAGATTTCAATTAAAAAACAACTTTCAAAGTGGGGCTGGAGACGTGGCTCAGTAATTAAGAGAACTTTCTGCTCTTTCAGGCGACCTGGTTCAGAACCCAGCACCCACATAGTACTTCTCAACTCAGTGTAACTCCAGCTCCAGAGGTTCTGATGCACCTTGTTGGCCTAAATCAGTCAAAACATTCATTATTCACAAAATAAAAATAGTTTAAAACTTGCAGATAGGATTCACAAAATGGTTAATTTTATTTTTTGACTAATGGGATGCTAATCTAATCTCATTAGAAATAGGTGGTAAAAATGATTGTGCAGGATGGTGAATATTTTCAGTTAAATGCCTATAATTCAAAGATAATTAAACCTTCAAAGTCCATATAGGTTGGAGGGAGATAGGCAAGTATGAGCCATTGGTATGGGTGGGGGCAGGGTACTGGGGTCCCTGTTGGGCTCAGTCTGAGCTGGAGGTGCTAGGGTGATAGATTATAATTCGTCGGTTGTCATTTTTATTGTTCTTAAGCCAGGGCTTTCCTTACTGTCTCACTGTGACCCACAGAAGCCCTCCAATGCCCATTTGTGAGACCCGTGTAAAATAGACACTTTCCATAGCTTGCTCTGATGACTTCCTGTTTTGAGATAATCTCAAGTACTGGGATTACAGGCAGGTGCCACACCACTCAGCTAAAACCAAGTCTTGGTCTACTGTATGATGATGTCACGGCTAATGACATCGTCTTTATGAGGCAACAAAGGCACCTGCTTGTATTTCCAGCTGAGCATAATTCTGCTCAAGTTGAAAGGTAATCCTTGGTCGGGAGATGCTTCATGAGGTGTATGTATATGCCGAGCTATCTAGGAGGGAGAAACTGTAAAAGCATGTAAACATGGTGTGTTAGGACATTTAGTAATTGTTGGCAGTTTCCTAAATGAAGCATGTAGTAAATGTATAGTTGATTCATAAGCAGTTAAACTAAACCACTCATTGTTTTGCTTATTTATTTATCTGTTTTTAGGTTTGGGAGACAGGGTCAGCTCTGTAGCCCAGGCGTAGCCCAGGCTATCCTGGAATTCTTTGTATGGTCCAGGCTGGCCTTGAACTCAAGCTCTGGGGTTATCAGTGTGACCACAATGCCAGAATCGCCATTACATTTACATGTATTTGGGCATCTCTGTTTGAAAGATAATAGTCCTGTTAGTAAGGAACAATACTGAATTTTTGTTTTTGCTTATTATGTTTTAGTCTCTAGAGGTCTGCACTTTTTTCCTTCTTGCAAACGAAGCTGATGGATGGGTTTGTCTCTGTTTTAGAGCCATAAGAAAGTAGGCGCCTTATGGAGGGAGGCCAACCTCAGTTGGAAGGACTTCTTACCAGAAGGGGAAGATGTACATAATTTTCTCTTGGAGCAGGTGAGTAACAGTTGCTTTTGATGATGGTTTGTTTGGGATTGTTAGAGCCCATGTAGAGCACATATGGAGTCCTGGGTTCTATCCTCATCACTGCAGATGATGACAATGAAATTGATAGTAAGTAAATCAAACTAGTACTATTGAGGGGCTAGGAGCTTGACACAGTAGTAGAACCCTGGGTTTGACCCCCACCCCCAACATTTCAGCAACAAAGACACAAATGAGAGCCTTAATGGAGTTTGTGTGTTAAGGCCCTTCCAGCCATACAGTCAGAAGACAATCTTAGGTGTGGGTTACCACATCCAGCACATCTCAGGGACAGACCCGACTAGACAGGCAAGTTTATCCTTTGGGTGCTCTGGCCTGTAGCACCCTTCCAGCTCAGCGTGTTATTACAGAGCATTGAACAGAGAGGCGGGGTTTGTGCATACAGGTAACAGGAAAAAGTTTTAACAAATCTCAGTGGGAGCTATCTCTGCAAAGGACAATCTTCAGGTCATAAATATGTAGGGGAAAGGCTATGGTGGATGTCTCTGTGCCCACTGTCAATACTCATACATAGACCAGAAAGGAAGGCTTTGCTGTTCCCCTCTGGGTCTGAGGCTGTGGGGTCCTTGACATGGTGCACATTCATCCAGAACTTCACACACACAGACAGGGCTTCCTGTGTTCCTCAGGAAGCTGTGCAAGCGTTAAGAACCTGAGTGTGATCTCCAGATCCCCTGTAAAAATGTTAAGTAATGGTGTGTACTTGTATCCCAACACTGGGGAGTCAGAGACTGGAAGATTGGAATCACGGCTGTTCAGGAGCCTGATGCAGGAGGATTACTTATAAACCATAAATTTGAGGCCAGCTTGAGCAATGGAACAGAACAAAAGCAAGAAAGTGTCATCTCTGGAATAAAGACACCATCCGAGTCGCTGTGTACTTCTTCAGCTGTAGCTGTAGTCTAGGTACACTAGGGACATGCTCATGAAGTACCCACAGAGCTGAAGAGATAGCTAAGCAGCTACTTCTTTAAACTCACTATGAACCTAAGACTTTCCTTGAACTCCACCTTTAGGCAAATACCTTTAATCCCAGCACTCAGGAGGCAGAGGCAAGTAAATCTCTGAGTTTGAAACCAGTTTGGTCTACTGACTGAGTTCCAGGAAAGCCAGGGCTACAGAGAAACCCTGTCTTTTTAAATGTGCTTCTATTACCATTGGGCGAGAAGAAAAGTTTTAGCAAAAAAGTAAAAGATTAGGCAAAATGATCACTACTGCAAATAAAAGGTGGCACTATTATTAATTCTGTTCCAAAAAATGACTACAATGTTTATGAGTAAGTTTTATGCTAATGCATTCATTAACCTCATTGATGTGAAGAAATATCTAGAACAAAGTTTGTGTTTATAGTTTAAAATGTTCCTACAAAGGAAACTTGAGGATCCATGGTCTTTCTGTGAATTCTACCACGTATTTTAAAGACTAAGCAATACTAAGGAATAGTGAACTCCACAAAGCAATCTGTCAGTTGTGGAAAACCAAGGAGGTGTTTCTGCTTCCCTTTTGCTGCACACCTAATCCCCACACTGAGCAGAAGCAGGCTGATCTCTGGGATCAAGGCCAAGCCAGGGCCACATATTGAGACCCTGTTGAAAATTCATTCTTGAACACAGGGAGCTGAAGTTATTGACACATATCAAGCAGTACCTCCGGCTGGAACCCTAGCATGGGAAGTAGTACGGTCCTGCCTGAACCTACCCTCCTCCATGGTCCTGGCGATGAGAACGTGGGTGTCTGGTTCAGGTTACAGTCCCTTTATCGCCTGTGATTTAGAAGACAAATGCAGGAGTTGGGGGGTAGAGAACAGAAGTTAATGGTTATCCTTGGCTACATGAGTTGGAAGCCATCCTGGGCTATGAGACTGTCTTGGTTAGGGTTTCTACTGCTGTGAAGAGACACCATGACCCCGGAAAACAAGGAAAACTTTTCATTGAGGGGACTTGCTTACAGTTTGAGAGGTGCAGTCCATTATCATCATGGAGGCGTGCAGGCAGACATGGTGCCAGAGGAGTAGCTGAGAGTCCTACATCTTGCAGGCAACAAGAAGTCCGTTGAGACACTGGGTCCTGTCATAAGCATAGGAAACCTCAAAGGCCACCCCCACAGTGACACACTTCCTCCAACACCACCATATCATCTCCCAACAAAGCCATACCTCCTAATAGTGACACTCCCTGTGAGGTTATGGGGGCCAATTACGTTCAAACTGCCACAGAGACCCTAAGTCAAAACCCAGAAACAGCAGAAGATATTGTGGTGAACTCGGGTATAAGTGAAAGCCCAGCCCTCGAAGAGGTAACTCTATGATGCAAGTGTTTCCCTCCAGTGAGCGTTATACTTTGTCAGTAGTAAAGCTTTGTTTTCAAATCTTCCTACTTTAATTGACTTTTTAAAACAATTAATTGCTTTGTAGCTCAAAGTAAGTTCTGTAAAATCTGATGAAATGTTAGGTTTGCCTTGAAGATACTTAATCCCTCATATCATTAGATTCATGTGGAAAGTTTATGGTTAAACAACACTGATAGCTTTTATTCCATGTGTATGATGTTTTGCCTGTGTGTATGTATGTACTCCAAGCACATGCCTGGTGCCCAAGGAGGCCAGAAGAGGGGTCAGATCTCCTGAAATGGTCATGAGCGCCATGTGGGTGGAATTGAACCTGAGTTTTCTAAAAGAGCAGCCCGTGCTGTGCTCTTAACCACTGAGCCAGCTCTTCAGCCCTTGATTGACAGTTCTTAAGAAGCTTCAGGCTGGCATCAAAATATGAGGAGTGGGCTCCCTATCAACACTGAGCCATAAAAACCTCAAAGAAAAGGACTTTGTACCAGTGTGGGGCCAATGGCTGGTGTGGCTCAGTGACAAAATGCTCATGTGACACTTTCACAGTATCCAGTTCCATTCAAAGATGCAAAAGGGAGAGGTTGAGGGGCCAGGCGGTTCTGTGTAAGAAATAAAACATTGGAATAAAAAACAATTCAAATGAGTTGTGTTTAAGTTTTTAATCAACCACATTCTAAAAATCACTGAAGGAAGATTGATTTGAATGATCTTTAGTACTCATGTTTGTCTTCGTGGTTTGAATGTAAAGATGGTGTAAAGCCAGGCATAGCCATGCATCTTATTATAGCCTGACTGAAAAGTACAGGTTTTGGTTACTGACTTGGCTCCTCCCTGTTTCTATAACAACTGATAGCATCATTTCTTGCCCTTGTGCTTAGCATGATCACTTTGGGAGCTGGAGCTGCCACACTATTCTCTTATGGAGAGGCTCCTTCCTGCATCATAACTCCCTACAGGGCTGTAGCTAACAATGATATGGAGGTAGCAAGGCAGAGAGAACTCCATGGAGTTAGTTCAGTTTGCCTTCTTATGGAGAATAGAAATGCACAATGTAAGGGTTTGAAAATTGAGCTGGCAAGATGGTTGCAGGTAAAAGAGCTTGTTACACTCTTAGGGACCTGAGTTCATTCCTTAGGAGCCACATCAGGTGGAAGGACAGAGTTTGGGGTGGAGCAGTGGCTCAGCAGATACGATTGTGTACTGCTGCTGTAGGGTTCCATGTCAGGCCACAGACAGCCACCCTCTCCTGGGCTCTGAGAGCACCTGCACTTCAGGACACATGCCCACAAGGGTACATGGTTAACATTTATTCTCTGACCTCCACATTTGTGCCCTACACATATCATGTACACACATACATACAAATAGAGTTTTTTAATTTAAAAGATAGATTTAATTAGGTATATGTCTCCTTGTACAGATGCCGTCAAGCCAGAGGGGATTCAAACTCATGTCTCATATAATCATCACACTGAACACTATCAATGTTTCATATTTGGTTCCAGAAATTGGACTTCATAGAGACAGAAAGTTCCTGTTCCTCGGAAGCACTTTCAAAGAGAGACCTCTCTGCTGAGGAGCTGTCTCAGCGGCTGGAGAAACTCATCATGGAGGACAAAGCGGACGACGAGCGGATCTTTGACTGGGTAGAGGTACAGACACCGACCATGCTCTGCTGTCTCTCAGGACAATAGCCAGTGGGTCCTCGGAGTTCTCATGGCAGTCCCTTACTTCAGAGACCGATTGGAGGGTTTTTATAAGCGCTCAGTCTTTTTATCATTTTATTTTATTTACTATGTAATAGGTGTTATGGTTTGGGGTTGTTTTTATTTTGTTTTTGAGGCAGGGTCACATGTGTAGCCCTGACTAGCCTGGAACTTGCTTAGTAAACCAAACTGGCTTGAACTCTGGAGATCCTTGACTCTGCTGGTGTGCACTAACTACCATGCCCAGTCAATTTCAGTCTGACAAGTCAAGTAAAAACCTATTGAGGGCACAATCCCATTTCTCTGGGTCTGATTCCAACCCTGTGTAGTTCACATTCCTGGTTCCCATAGTGCTTATCTGTGAGCACAAGGACCTCTGTGCCTCCCTCCGTGTAATTATCTTTCCTAATCTTCTTAATCCATTGGTGTTCTAATTTATTCTTAGAAGGCAGCTATGCTAGCCACTGTACCACCAACAGTTTCTCTTATTCTTGGACTCAGCATAGCCTCAGTCTTGGGCCTTCTGGGGTGTGCAGTGGCAATACCAGCTGTTACAGGCTTCTGTTTTGAAAGTCAGGCTATGGCTCATATGCTTCACACCATTCCCTTCATAGTTTTCCATAGATGGACAGTATATCAATAGTTTGAACTTTCATTTTTTAATTTATTAGAAATTTGTGGTGATTTTGCTTTTATGTTACTGTCTTTTAAATTGTTAAACTTTATTACAAGTTAACAAATTATCTTACTAAAACATAGCACCTGTTTGATCACTCTTAGGTTCTGATACACTAACATTTGCAATCATTTCTTTAGAACTCAAGTTAAACAGTCTCAGCAAGGATAATTTGAGAATTTCATACATTTCACATTCTTTCCCCTGCCCTAACACTTCCAGTCATCCTCCAGCTCCCACTCAGCTGCATGGGATTTTTTTGTGTGTGTTTGTTTTGGTCTTTTGAAAGAAGCTTTGTGTAGTATGTGGCTCTGGAACCCATTCCATAGATCACATGGCCTCACTCACTAAGGCTCGCTTGCCTCTGCCGGAATTAATGGGAGGCTGCCGTGCCCGGCCAGCTTCATGTTTATGCCAGTATCTGTTCTTGAACGAAGGCTAAGCAGGTAAAGACTCCTGCAGCCAAATCTAATGTCCAAGACCAGCTCCTGCAAGCTGCCCTTTGACTTCCACTCATAGACACACACATGACCACTCTAACAAAATAAATAAATATAATGGCAAAATTATTTGCTTATTTTCTTTTTATTTTAAAGAGAAAACAAAAGATAAGTTCCCAACAAATGTAAATTCTACATAATAAAGATAACTTCTTTTAAAAAACAAAGGCAAGAGAGCAGAAAAACCACATTAGTGAGAGACTGCCTTGATCTGCCTCAGCTATAAAGTCCATCAACACCGCCTTAGATGACATCTTTAGGGTTTCTCACCAGGCACTGTGTTCAGACTGAAAAGGCCATGGGATACTGTTGCAGTATTCGAGACACTTTCTTAGGAATTGTCTGCAGTAGTTTGTGTTTTTCTGCCGCTGCACATCAGCTTAGTGTAAGCCTAGCAACAAGGTCAGTGCAGTGGAATTAAGTCTGGGTCCCTTTGACTTCGTTCCATATCTCTTAATTCACTATTTCGTGACATCATTAGAAAGAGGAACAAGTTTCTCAACATCTGAAGGCTTTGTTCCAGGCTGGGCTGGAAATCAGCCACATTTGCTGTAGATGAAGATTATAGCAGTGTTGGTCCAAGGACAGTGGCGCAGTGCTGACAGCATGGTCCGGGCCACATTGCACTCCTGCTGCAGCTGCAGCTTACGTTGTAGACCAGGCTGTCTAGAACTCAGAGCATCTGCCTGCCCGCCCTCCTTTCCTCCTCCCCAAACCCCTAGTGCTAGAATTAAAAGATGTGAGCAACCACACTCTGCTGTGGCTCAGTTCTTTTTAAATGCGTAGACATAGGTAGGTCCTCTCTTGTGGGTTATTATTGAGGAACTGTTGTTCAGTGGCTGCACTTGCAAATGAGCATATTACAGAAGCGCCTCAAACCTGAGTGTCTGACTGCAGCATTTTCACAGACAAGCGCAAGCACCTTGCTCTAACATACATTCCTTCTGTTTTCATTTGCAGGCTAATCTAGATGAGAGCCAGATGAGTTCGCCTACATTCCTTAGAGCTTTAATGACGGCTGTTTGCAAAGCAGCTATTATAGGTAAATGATGATTGTTGATAGCAGACCCTGGCATCTGAAGTACAATTTTCAGCTTTGCATTTCATGATCTGATTTTATATGGTCTTAGAACTTGCAGTTTTTGTGCATCCTACTGTGCTACCTGATCTCTCATGAGAACCAAGTGTGAATGTCACCTGTCATCTTGTAGTCTGTGGTTGACCACAATTGTTTAATACTTCTTGGGTCCACATAGATTTTTTTTTTCCTTTCACTTTTTCTGCCATTATCAAGGCCATGTCCTCCATTCAACATATCTGTCAAATCCAACTTTATGGTGAGACATGTGATTAATATAGCTCTCTTACATTGCCATAAAACCTTGGTACTGTCTAATTGTAATTACAAACAGATAAATGGATAAAAAGTTAGGGGATCTGCACTCAACATGCATTTCCCCTTCAGGTTTTATGTCATTTTTTATAGAATGTACCATCAGAAATGTACTAATGTCAGAGGCCTATAATTCTTGCTGTTTAGAAAGCTGAGACAGCAGGATCGACAGCTACAGAGAATGTTTAAGGCCTTAACAGACAACTGAGTGAGACCCTGTCTTAAAAACAGAAGGCCAGGAATGGCTAGAGATGTAGCTTTGTGGAAAGTGCTTGCCTAGTATGTGAGACACTTGGTCCTATCTCCAGTACCACAAAAGAAGAATGGACAGTTTCCAGTCTTTACTTTGGACCCTTTACCTTACCATTCCCGGATGTGTGTGTGTGTGTGCTGTGCTCACAGCAGTAGAAATGTGCGACTCTGGTTCTCCTGTCCCTGCAGCTGACTGTCCCACCTTCAGAGTGGACACTGCCGTGATCAAGCAGAGAGTGCCGATCTTACTCAAGTACCTAGACTCAGACACAGAGAAGGAACTTCAAGCACTTTATGCACTACAAGCGTCAATAGTAAAACTTGACCAACCTGCCAGTAAGTTTTCATCTTGGCACAGAGAGCCCATCCAGTCAGGGAGAACTTGTAAGCCTTGAAAGTTGGGGTGTGGACATGGGCAGTAGGACGACTTGCAGCAACCTTTAGAATCCACCATGTGAAAACATGTTTGAGAAAATGCTAAGTCTTTTTTAGCTGGGCGGTGGTGGTGCACGCCTTAATTCAGCACTCAGGGTGGGGGTGGGGTCTAGTTTAGGGCCCGGAGAGAGATAGTTCAAGTGTGAAGACCATTGACTGCTCTTCCAGTGGACCCAGGCTCAGTTCCTAGCACCCACATGGTCACTCACACTCACAACCATCTGAAACTCCAGTTCTAGGTAACCCAGCACCTCTTCTGATCTCCAGAGCCATCAGGCATGTACTTGGTGCACAGATATACATATATGCACACAAAACACCCAAATATAAAATTTTAAGTTTTTTTTTTTTTTTTTTTTCAAAAGTCCAGTTGAACTGTGAGGGTAACCCCCCCATCCCCATCTTCATCCCAGCATATTGGGGGTGGCTAAGGGCAAGGGGAACATATCTTCTCAAAGAAAAGAAGTAACCCTGGTGCAGATAGTTGATCCTCTCCATAGCCCAGGTGTGTAGACACTGCTCATTGTGAGGACCTGGTCACCTGAGATGCTTGTGGCCATGGTACCCGTAAATGTGGCAGTTGTGGCTGAGAACTGAATTTTCCATTTTATTCAGTTTGCATTTAAGTAGCCCCATGTGTACATATTGATGCATATTGAATAGCCTCGAGGCTGGCCAGTGATCTCAGCATCCTGAGCCACTGGCATTCACCAAAGCGTCAGTTACCCACACACCCCACTGCTAGATGCTAGCCAGTGAATCACTGTCGTGTCCTCAGGAATTCACTGCAGTTTGTGCACATGGACAGAGCGTATTTCAGGGATGGCCTTGAGTGTTACGGCATTTGCAACGTTTTCCTTTGCTAGTGAAAATGCTCCTGAATCTCCCTGAGAGAAAGAAAGGGCTAAAACAAGTTATCCTGAGAGCATAAGTCATCTGAGGTCTTAGAACAGGACAGCGTGCTTCTCTGAGCTCTTGCAGAAGAGGACATTAGCTTTTCAGATGAAGTGTCTAATGAAGTGGCTGCTGAGTTGACATTAGGTGCCCCATTATATTGGCTTCAGTCATCCTGGGAACTGTTGGTTTGGGAACCTGCAGCCGGCAGACTTGTGGCCTCGCTCCATGTCCCTGTAGATTAACTACGGTTGTTTATTTTATTTTTGTTGGGTTGTGGGGAGGGCACGATTTATTTCAGTGTTAAGCTAATGTGATTACAAAAGCTAATCTAAAAATGTAACTAAGACTGTGTCTGGTTCTCATTTATTGGCATCATTCATTCACTGCCATGTCCATTAATGTGATGATCAGGAAGCTGGCCAGGGGTGATGGTGCACACATTTAATCTCAGCACTCAGTGGGCAGAGGCAAGTGGATCTCTGAGCTCAAGGCCAGCCAGAGCTACATAGTGAAATCCTGTCATGAAGGAATTTTCCTTTCTCTCTCGCAGTGCTGTGGGTTGAACTCAGTTCTAAGGAACTTTGGAAGAATAAATACATTTTTGGTTTTTCGAGACAGGGTTTCTCTGTGGTTTTGGGAGGTTGTCCTGGAACTTGCTCCTGTAGACCAGGCTGGCCTCAAACTCACAGAGATCCACCTGCGATTAAAGGCATGCACCACCACTGCCCTGCTTAAAGGGAGAATAAATACATTTAAAAGGGTTTAATGTCTCTCACAGTGTTCTCCCTTTCTTGAGTAGTAATACAAGTTTCTACTGTAAGAGAAAAGTTATTCCAGTTATCCAGACATTTAAGACACCAAAATGCAGAGATCACCTCAGCCCCAGAGATCACCTAGTCACTCTTTGTTTTTAGTACAGCCCTAGATTTTTAAAGGGTTTAATTTGGTAACTGCATGATAGGAGACAGCCTCACCAGTATGTGAACGTTGTTGTATTTGAATAAAATAAAGGTATAGAAGTAATGTAGGCTGCTTAGGGTTTTCCTCTGCAAATGGGTGCTACATTCCTCAGCATCAGGAGCATGTGATGCATGGTCCTAGGAAGCCAATATTCATTCATTGCGTTGATTCACTCATTCCCTGCATTCATTCATTCATTCATTCATTCTTTCATTCATTCATCCACTGCTTGCATTGGCTTACTCATTCACACATCATTGCTTTCCCTTGTAACTACAGTGCCCTGCCCAGACCAATGGCTGTTTCCACCCACTTGCAGATTTGCTCCGGATGTTTTTTGATTGCCTGTATGACGAGGAGGTGATCTCAGAGGATGCCTTCTACAAATGGGAGAGCAGCAAGGACCCTGCAGAGCAGAACGGGAAGGGCGTGGCCCTCAAATCTGTCACAGCATTTTTCACTTGGCTGCGGGAAGCGGAAGAGGAGTCCGAGGATAACTAATACTTCAAATACACAAACGAAACAAAAGAAACAATTTAAGTATTTTTTTAAAAAGTTTCACGTCTTCGCCAATCACAGTGCAGCAAGGCCAACTCTCGCAGAAACCCCACGTGTGCACGAGTGGGAGAGGGAAAAGGAAACAGGTGATCATGAAGGATAAAGGTGCTGGAACAAGGAGACAGCAGACCTGAGGGCGGGAGCTCGGAAACCAAAATACATGTACTATTTATAGAAAATATTTTCTGTTTTAATCTTTTCTTTTTAAACGAGGACTCATACTTTAAAAAAAAAAAAAAAACACATTTAGCAAAAAAAAAAAAAAAAAAAAAAAGGAAAGGAAAAAAAACAGTTGAAAACTTTTAATTTATTTTAAGGACTGCAAATGCCAGTGTGTAATTTTTTAATTTGCAGTTTCTGTAAACAACTTGTATAATAGAAAAGCAGAAAAAAAAATAAATTTCCCTTCCCTTCAGATGCACCTCACATTTGTGTTAAGACATAGCTGTTAGTCCAGATTTGAGAAGGTTTGGGGTGAACAAGGTAAGAAAGATCCTGATCCTTTTTCTTTCTCTTTCTCTCTCTTTCATCTCTCTGTGTCCGGTCTCTCTCTGTCTCTCTCTGTTTCAACCCACTCCCACCCCTGGCATCAGATCTTTCTGCCTGCCTCTCAGCTTGCTTCAAAAAATGTAAAAATCACACTAGTAATCACAAAACACATAACCTTGGAACAGAAGGAAGTACTATGGACCAGAAAAATCCAAGAATTGTTCAGAAAAAGTGCTATCCTGGAAAATAACCTGAATACCATTGAAATGGCTAGAGCAACCTTAAGGCTTGTAAATACATAGAACAAATATTTAAAAACATAAAAGAACTGACTCAATACTATTTCTTTTCACTTTTAAAATATAAGGAACAAAATAAAGGCAAGCATTGCAAGTTTAAAATAAAGTAAAGCGACGTCTCCTTTTGACAGCCGTCACCTGTGTGTCGGCTGCTTATTGTCTAATCCCGGTTGCTTCTGAAGATGTGGGGTGGTGGTGTGTGTGTGGGCCGTGTGTGTATCTGTCCAGTGGGGATATAGAAGGTGGCAGTGCCCTTGGGGTCCAGGACAAGCAAACTTCAGTCTAGCTGTGTATATTATGGCTCCCAGCAGCAGATCACCCCAATAATACCACTGATGTTTAAATCTTTCATTAATCATTACAGTAGTTGAGAATCCAAAAGATGGGGCTGGAGAGATAGCTCAGTGGTTAAGAGCACAGGCTGCTCTTCAGGGGACCAAACACCTTCACACAGACATGCATTAAGACCAAATACCAATGTCGGTAAAATAGAAATAAATCATTTAGAACAAAATCCCAAAGATACCTTTGAAAGGAATGAAAAATATTGGGCTGACAGCAGTAAAGTGCTCACTGCCCAGCACAATGGCCTGAGCCTAACCCCTTGGTCCACTTGTGGGAGGAGGATCAGTCTGCAAATTGTCCTCTGACCTAATGTGAAAAAAAAAAAAAAAATCCAGAGTTAAAGGGTGCTTTGTAGTAGGAGTAGAGTTTGCCAGCACATCACCCTGCATGGAGACCTCGTCACTGCACTCAAGCTTCATCCAGGCCTTTGAGTGGCCATCTACCTCTGGTGTCCTGCTGGGTCTGTGTCTGCTGAAGTTTCTGGCCTGGTTCTTTCCTTCCCCTCTGGGAAGTTTCTGGGCCTTCACCCTACAAAATGTATTTATGAACAATTCCAGGCTGATACCAAATAAATACCTTGTATTTCATATCCATGTAATCTAAGATATGCTGGCTTCTGTCTCAGGAAGTGACCACAGGAGGAGACCCACCCACTGCAGCGCCAGAGCAGTTCCTACATCTAAAGTGCTTTCCTGCACTGAGCCTGAGCACACTGCACATCCTAATGTATGCAGTCAGGGAGCCTGTTCCTCTGTGCTAAAGAGCCAGGTGCTGGAAGTCCCAGGCACCCAGCAGCATCAGCCATAAAAGTGGACTTGGGGAGTGGTTTGGAGAGACCCAGCTGCCTTGGAAGCCTCAGTTAGAAAAGTCACGGATTGAATGGTGTAAGGTGGTAATGTCTCCAGCACTGTTATGCAGAGCATTCTCATCCAGGCAGCTCCTGTGAGATGCAGGCTTTCTGAAGGATCCCATGATGTTTGTGGGGGAGGGGAGTAGATTCAGGAAGCAGGTAGGGTAGTGACTACATCTTGGAAATCAATGGCTGCTAAACGCAGACTAGCCCATTCACTATTTTAAATATGAACTGGTGTAAAATTGGAGAATTTTCTTTTTTTTTAATTCAATTTTTTTATTACCTAGCTTACTTTTTTCTTATTTTACATTCCCTCTCCCTCTCATGCCCCCCACCATCCCCCTCATGCCATCCCCTATCCACTCCCCAGCCTATCCACTCCCCAGGGAGGGTGAGGCCTTCCAGGAGGGAGCATCAAAATCTGTCAAGAGATCTGGGGTAGGGCCTAGGCTAAGGGAGTATCCCTCCACAGGGAATGGGCTCCTGAAGTCCATTTGTGCACCAGGGATACATCCTGGTTAAATGGAGAATTTTCAATTTAAGGGTTGATAAATAATCAGGTTAACATCTAGCTCAATAACAAATACGGTTTGGAATTGCATCTGGTAGCAGTGGTATATACTACAAGGATTGGAGTTTTTTGGGTTGATTCTTCCCCCGCCCGCCCTCCCAGATGTATTTATGCAGTCTTCTGTCTGCATTTGTGCCTCCAGGCCAGAAGAGGGCACCAGATCTCATTACAGATGGTTGTGAGCCACCATGTGGTTCCTAGGAATTGAGCTCAAGGCCCCTGGAAGAGCAACTAGTGCTCTTAACCTCAGAGCCATCTCTCTAGCCTCTGCTTTTGGGTTTCTGGATGCCATGTCACAATGTTTGACAAAATTAGAGCCATTTCCTAGGCAATGTGCCTGTTATCCTAGCACTCAGGGACACAAGATGATGACAGCCTGAGCTATATAACAAAAAGGGGGTCAGGCTCTCTAGGAAGACAGCTCAGTGGATAGAGCATTTGCACAAGTAGAGAAACCTGAGTTCAAATCTGTAGCACCTCCATAAGTGGGATGGCATGCCTGCCTGTGGCTCCAGGTTCAATGGGAAGACCGTTTAAAGGGAATTCACTGGGGGAGTGATAGGTGATCCTCTCCAGGCCTTGCATGTGTGTCCACATGCAGTCACAAGGTGGTATGACTAACCAGTTCATCGGAGACTGAGACAGGAGACTTGCTTTGAGCTCAAGGTCATTCTGGAGTTAATGAGTTCTAATCTCAAAAACAAATTGTGAACAGAGAACTAATGCTTTTTGTTAGCAGAGCACACAGGCTTGGATTGCTACCCTCTCTGTCCTCTTTCTGGAAAGCAGGGTTTGGTGGGATCCGATTTAAAATGAACAATGTTTGGATATGGTTAGCTCATGCCTGTAGTTCCAGGGCGGCCAACACAGGAGAACTGCTGCAAGTTCTAAATCAGCCTGGGCTAAAGAGTGAGGTTCTGTCTAGGGCAAAACCAGGCCTCAGATGTTCTACTGGTAACAGTGATTGCCCTGCAAGCTTGGGAACCTGAGTTCAAATCCCCAGAACCCACATAAAAAGGTGAGCGTGATTTTGTGTGCCTATAACCCCAACCCTGGGAAAGTAGAGACATGCACAGTAAACATTTCAATTTAGTAAGAAGTCCTGTGTGAAGGCAGTAAGTCAGATCTCCTAAGACTTCCTACTCAGATCTCTGTACATACTGCATGGTGCACTTACCACACTCGTGTGCATGTAATAAGAGCACAAATTCGCTTTTATATAGTTTACTTTTCATTAGTTCAAATCATATGAATTCTGTGTCCAATGGCCTATGCCGGGAGGTTGCTTCGGGGATTTAGCACAGACCATCCTACTGTTTCCATGGGCCAGAGCGAGTACAACATGGTTTTACACAGTTTTTCTTCAGGATCTTGTATAGTATCCTCACTGGTTCATAGTGTCTCTGGTGCACTGAAAATAGTTGCCAATTATTCTGTCATTTGAAAGGTGTCCTTTTTAAGGGGAGAAAAAAAATAATAAAAGTCAGTGTTTCTCTGTCTTGCCAGTCAGCTCTGTCCTGCCAGCTGGCTCCCAAATAACCACACAGACTTATTAGTGATTATAAATTCTCCATTAATAGCTTAGGCTTGTTAATACCTAGCTCTTACATCTTAAATTAACCCATTTTTATGTACACTCTGTCATGTAGTGGGACTTGTTTTTTTTTTTTTTCAGCCCAGCATATTCATCTGCTTCCTCTATATCTGGCTGGCAACTCCTGAAACTCTGCCCTTCTTCCCAGTATCCCCAGTTTGGCTCTCCCAGCTAACCTCTTCCTGCCTACTCTTGCCCAGTCAGCCTTTTATTAAGCCAATCAGAAGGCACCTTGGCAAAGACATCTTCACAATACAAAAAGATTATTCCCTAACATATAAGTTTCAAAGCAAACCGTTTTACATGCTTGGGTACATCACAGTTGGGTTGTGAAGTAGTTTTGTAAGCAGATATTTACAGGCTGAGGATACAGGTAATAGCAATGTAATACTTAGCCCAGGTGAGGTCCTGTGTGCATCTACTAAGGGCTGCAGTCTCTGCTCTTGGGGAGTTGCTGTCCTGCATAAAAACAAAGCTTGAACCAGCATAGTAGTACATGCTTTGAATCCCAACACTCAGGAAGGCAAGCCTGGGCACTAGGGCTGTTATAAACAGATACCCTGTCTTGAAAAACAAAACCAGAAAGCTTGGGGTTCACACTATACTTTGAATTGTAACTTACATTGTCTAAACTTTAGCATAGGCTCATGTGTCCCCTTCCTGTCCAACACACTTTTGTTTTTAGCACCTACACTATGTAAGATGCCACAGGCATATCTTGTACATTCCCTGCCCGGGAATCGGGGCCTGACACCTGGTGAGGGTGATTTCAGAGACCAAGGTCTCAGTGATCTTATTGCTCTTGGGCTGTCTCAGCGTCCTGATTTGCTATCTTTACTATCCCTCTTTACTGAGGGAAAGGTCTTTCCACAGAAAACACAGGCCTCAACAACCAACTTGGGACCCTGGCAGTACTGTGATGGAGATCAGAGAGTGCTGTCTGGGCTGTGTGAGACCCTGGATATGAGGGGTGTGTGTGTGTGTGTGTGTGTGTGTGTGTGTGTATAAGAGATAGATTTCTAACACTTTT